CTAATCAAATGAAATACAGGGGAGTCCCTGGGGTCACCCCAACCCTCCTGTTTGGGAACTTTGAAATGGTCGAGATCCCCACCCCTAAACCAAATATATTCATGTATGGGACAATGTAATAAATCAAATGAAATATAGAGGGAGTCCCTGCAGTCACCCCACCCCTCCTGTTTGAGAATTTGGAAACGGTCAAGATCCCAAGACAAGACAAGACAATTTATTTAAACTTAAGCACACGTATGGTGCTACAAGAGGATAACAATTATACATTAACAATTACATATATACTTATACATTTACAAGCAAGACACACAATAAATAAATAAGTGATATCATACAATAAAATGGAGATAAACTATAGTTGGTTGATTTGTTTGCAAAATTCTTAATTGCAACATGGATATGAAGTTATTGTAACATGCTTTGTATTATGAAAATATTTTTTCAATATGTCTTAGAAACATGCACACTTTTGTTAGCAGTGGCACGTTACAGTGTGATAATAGACCAGTAAGTTTCAATTGGGAAGGATTTTGTGTGTAATATGTAGGTATATATCTTTCTCTTAAAGACATAATTTGTTCATTGGAGCATACAAAAAAATAATGATCCCATAAACCATACATATTCATGTATGTGACAATATAACAAATGAAATGAAATATAGGGGGAGTCCTTGGGGGTCACCCCACCCCTCCTGTTTGAGAACTTGGAAACGGTCGAGATCCACCCCTTAACCATATATATTCATGTATGGGACAATATAACAAATCATATGAAATATAGGTTGAGTGCTTGGGGCCACTCTACCACTTCCTGTTTGAGAATTTGAAAACGGTCGAGATCCCCACCCTTAACCATATATATTCATGTATGGGACAATATAACAAATCAAATGAAAAATAGGGGCAGCTCCTATGGTCACTGTAAACCATCCTGTTTGAGAACTTGGAAACGGTCGAGATCCTCACCCCGAAACCATATATACTCATGTATGGGACTATATAACAAATCAAATGAAATATAGGGGAGTCCCTGCAGTCACCCCACCCCTCCTGTTTGAGAACTTGGAAACAGTCGAGATCCCGACCTCTAAATTAAACCATATATATTCATGTATGGGACAGCAGAACTTATCAAATGAAATATAGGGAGAGTCCTAAGGTTCACCCTACCCCCTCCTGTTTGATAACTTGGAAACAGATGAGATCCCCACCCCTAAACCATATATACTCATGTATTTGGCAATATAACAAATCAAATGAAATATAGGGGAAGTCACTGGGGTCACCCCACCCCCTCCTGTTTGAAAACTTGATAACGGTCGAGATCCCCACCCCTAAACCATATATATATTCATGTATGGGACAACATAAAAAATCAAATGAAATATAGGGTTAGTCCCTAAGGTCACCCCATCCCCTCTTGTGTGTGTTTTAAGAACTTGTAAAAGTTTGAGATACCAACTCCTAAACCATATTCATTCCTGTTCGTCATTTCAAACAGATTTGAATGACATACAAGATCAATCTCATAGGCATCACATATGCATATCACTTTACTAGACCTAATCAATGTGTACTAGACTTTGCCCAATGTCAGGCGACCATGGGAACGAATAATTATGGCAGCTTTGTTTGGGAGACTTCGTAACAGCATTCTGTTACAATTATTTCTTGTTTATTATAAAATTTTATTGATGCAAAAAATGAGTAGGTTTAAAGAATTTACCTTAATTATATTTTGAATAATTTCTGGTTCTATAAAAAATTTCATTTTAATATGGCTCATTTTAAAGAAAACATATCTTTCAAGCCCAAGAGTGTTTGACCAACTTTATTATAATCACCTGTCATTTTATTCCAAACTTAGACATCATGGACTTGGGGTGAAGGTGGGGGTCATTTACATTTACTATGGGCAGGTCAGTCAGACCTCACCTTTGATCCCCGTAGTAGTAAACATTTGTCTGATTTGTGTCTCATAACTTTTGCACTGTAGAACACAAACTCAGTTTTCTTTCCAGGGAAGCAAGTCCATGCATACTATTACAAGCTCGTACTAAGTCAACTTGAACTACTAACAGTCAACTAAAACCAACGTTAACTATCAACTAGAACAACTGCAATCATTTCGAACTTGTACCACTGCAGACACATGACCATTAAAAATATACTTGATATATGCGTTGCTTTTGAAAACCTTGATAAAATATGAATTATTTGCCTTAATAATTAATTCATTAAATGAACATAAATGCACAATATATGAATGTTTAATGTTTGTTCTTTTAAATCTTAAAAAAAATGAAGCAACATAGCCACAGTTTTCATAATTATGTTTGCCTTGGTTTTTGGTTAACTGCCTACAGTGCTTACAGTGCTTTGATTTGGAGTACCTTTGAAGGTCAGTTTTTTCTTTGAAGGCTTTAAAGGTATTTTGAAAATTGGCATGTAGAAAGCTGATACATGTACAATTCAGGATATACCTGGTTTCTATGAAGTTAAACTTAAGGTAAAATATTTAGAAAGCTGTGAAAATTGCAAAATTTGGTTGAACAGATAGGGATTTTTAATTGGTGGTCTGACACCTGAAAATGGCACAGATCTATCTATCTTTTTTTTAGCACTCAGTCACAACTTTTGACTATTAGCCTATGTGCCGTTAGAAAGAAAACCATTGGCATTTATAGATTGTGTTTATTGAAAGCACATGGTTGAGCCTCGTTCTTGATTTCGTCAGTAAACAGATTGAAATAAGGTCGGCGACAATTTTGTAAATTATTCTCATAGATTCAATAAAATATCGGCTGCAATCACAATGTCGCAAACGATTTCAGATGATCACTTGACCGATAGGGCAATCACCAGTGCTTCTGCACAAGTCTGATGAGATAATTACTAGACTGGGGCTTCGGACTACCGCTAAACATTGCAGATTGTAATAAAACATGTACAATGAAATAAAATTAAATAAATCATTGTGGTTATTTTACAGTAGATTTATACAAACTATTTCTACACTCGACAGCATAAAAACACAGAACTTTTATTTCACAAGGGTTGTTTTGCTAGAAAAAAAATGTGGGCATCCTGAAATTATTTCCTGGCCACTGAAATTTCGAGTTGGCCACTAAATTTTCATGTCAGGTGGCCAGTTGGCAACTTGATTTTAGAAGCTACTTTGAGGGCTGCAGTACCTGTTTTCCTTTGAGGGCTGCAGTACCTGTTTTACTTTGAGGGCTGAAGTACCTGTTTTCCTTTGAGGGCTGCAGTACCTGTTTTCCTTTGAGGGCTGCAGTACCTGTTTTCCTAGTTGTTATGTTGCTTTATGATAAATTTTATTTAGCAAAAACATTTTTAAAAGAAAAATGAAGAAATTATTGACCATAAAATTCATAAAATCATATTTGATCATATTTGGACAAAACAATATTTGATTGTGTTTGAATAAATTAAAAACAAAGCTGATCGTAGTAAGGCATTAATCATAATAATCAATATTTTATCAACTTAAAAGACCAGGATACAAACCAAATGAGTCTAGACTGACGGGCCTACCAGACTGTGCCTGATGTGCAGAGTCTAATGAGACTTTGGCATTGATGCAAACTAGAACCTAAGTCCTGTGACTAGACATGACTAGATTTAGTTGTTCTCGACTCATATTTTTGAAAAGGATATCAAGAGATCTCAATCGAATTCTGTTCATTGAATCGACCTAAAATGCAAAAAAGGTTAATATAAAGGTTATTTTTTTTTGACAAGTCACAATTCCATTCGAACAAGTAAGTTTTGGTATGTACTTGTCCTATTGGGCAAGTTGAAAAAAAAGTTATTGTAGAGGCCTGATTTTTCTTACTTTATTTTGTGTTTAAAAATTGGATCATAAACTATACAGATTTCAAAATGTTCACTTTCTACACATTTTCCGCCCTCTGCTCATACCTGATGACCTTTATTCTTGTGTCACTTGACCCAAACAGGAAGTTGTCTAAGTGACTGTTTTTTCCTGATTGGACTAAATAGCAATAAGGTGTATTCATTAAATTGATAGTGGAATCTTGTGAATAAATGGATACATATACAATGTCAATGATTGTATCTATAAAATATAAACTTTTAAAAAGTTGGAAATCATAGATTGTCAAAACTTAAAGGACATAAAGCTTTATTTAAAGTCGGTATATATATATGCAATACAGTCGGTACCACGATTTCCGGAGAACTCCCAAGAACTGAATATTGACCAGAGAAACGATAAATTGGACCCAAAAGCTTTATTTTATATGATGTTATACTGTTTTAATATATATCAAGTATATAATTGTAAGATCCAAGTCGTTTTTACTCAATAAAACTACAATTTCACTTCATGAATTCGATTTGTGTGTCTTGTATGCAAGTTCCATGTGGATAACAATATGGCGGACGTAAATATTCAAAAGATGGATAACTTTGTCTAAATATATAAAGTATTAATCTTTTTTTTTTTAAATTTAAGATTTCCAAATGATGTATTTACTTTTCAAATTTCCATTATTAAAGAAACTAATCCTTCTGAACTTTTTTAATCTTTTATTTAGATACAGTTATCTACCTTTTGAAGACACACAAATTGAATTTTGAAGTGAAATTATACTTTCTTTGAGTAAAAATGACATATCTCTGAATTATATACTTTAATATCTATAAAAGCAGTATAAAACTATATAAAATATAGTTTTTGTGTAACTTTATAGGATCTCGGGTCAATATTCAGTTCTTAGGAGTTCTCCGGAAATCATGGTACCCCAATACAGTTATACACACATGCTCTGGATGGCTTTTAAAACTGACATAACAAAAGCACTACAAACAAAAAAGCCTGCATCAACAACTTATTCTTTTAAATGATAAGAAATCATGGTACAATGTAATTGAGAGAAAACTGACACAATCAGTTAAAAGAATTATTTTGGCAACGCCTACTTTTTGTTTATCTTTATTTTTTAAATTCAGATGGATTCTCTTGAACACAAAATGAACTGAAAACGGTGCAGAAAAAGCAAAGATCATGATCATAAATCAAGGGAATCACAGAAAATTATCTGGAAGACAATGGAATTGAAAGAGAAAGGTACTGAATTTTTATTTAAAGCTACCCCTTTTTTTGCTTTTGACTTCAATGCTGTACTTGTGTATTATGGTTGAAGGTTTAATATACTCAACTCATAGTGTACTAATTCATCTTAATTCTGCTCAGAAAGTACCCTTTAAATTGTATTCTTAAATCACCATTTTAAAGGTACTTTCAAACAACAATCAAGACTTATTAGTTAACAGTTGATGCTGTTAATAAAATATATTTTCGTTCTATTCACATGAATCTTTTGACCTTAAAGAGAGTTTTCCTGATAAGTCATTATAAAATTATAGGATAACATTTTATGTATATGATTTTCAAATTGTCAATCAACTATTAAAATATAAGCTGTAATGTCCACTTTAAAAAAAATGTGTATTAGTTGATGTAAAGTATAACTATGCAGCCACTTCTATAGCTTCAAAACTAGTCACACTAGGGAATACAAAACTAATCACACTAGGGAATACAAAACTAATCACACTAGGGAATACAAAACTAGTCACACTAGGGAATACAAAACTAGTCACACTAGGGAATACAAAACTAGTCACACTAGGGAATACAAAACTAATCACACTAGGGAATACAAAACTAGTCACACTAGGGAATACAAAACTAATCACACTAGGGAATACAAAACTAGTCACACTAGGGAATACAAAACTAATCACACTAAGGAATACAAAACTAGTCACACTAGGGAATACAAAACTAGTCACACTAGGGAATACAAAACTAGTCACACTAGGGAATACAAAACAAGTCACACTAGGAAATACAAAACTAGTCACACTAGGGAATACAAAACTTATAATACATGTGAAATACTTAATTATAAAATTGTAGTATGGAATAAAGGTGAAGAATGCTCTGCCCTTTACCAAGGTGATGGAAATTTTTACCCAGGATTCATCTTGAAAATTATCAGATCACCTGGACTGAAAGCAATTGTACAGTTTGATGGCTATTCAAAGGAAGAAGCTGAAACAGTTGACATAACACAGATAAAACCAATTCAAAGAAAACAAAAAGAAAAATCAGGTATTTCAACTTTCAAGTCTTAACAAAAGATGTAACTAGAATGCTACATGTACTGTAGGGAACACCCTGTCTACATCAAGCCTTACCACATATTAATTATAACTTTTACTAAATTTTTTCATAAATACAAAGATTTGGTTTGGAAATTTTGCTGTAATTGTAGAATTCTAATTTAAAATGGGATATCACATCCTAATTTTTTACGTTGTTGATGTAGTTTCTTGAGCCCATAAATTTAGATACAATGTATGATCCAAGTAAACTCATTGATCCTTTGAATAAACTTATTCTTAAAGGTTATCAATTAAACACCATTGTAGGCAAATCTTGAAATATTGTTTTTATTGGTACTAACATTGATTTTGTTTTTGAAAAAATTAAAAATAAGTAAATATATATGTACAGTAATGAATACTCCTGATCCTACATCAGTATTTGAAGTTACTCTTTACAATAACCCTTGTTATATGTAAAGTAATGAATACTCCTGATCCTACATTGGTATTTGAAGTTACTCTTTACAACAACCCTTGTTGAAATAACATTAGATTTTATAAGTAAGTTATATTTATTGTATTTATGGTCTCAGTGGTAGTTGTCATTTTTATACAAATTTACAAAATGTTACTAATTTTTGTTGAGCCTGCGACTTTGTCGCAGAAAGCTCGACATAGGGATAGTCATCCCTGGCGGCTTTGTTAGCTAACTTCTTAAAAGCTTTATATTTTAGAAGCTAGAAGACCTGGATGCTTCATACTTTGTATATAGATGCCTTATGTTACGAAGTTTCCGTCTGTGATATGTTCATTGTCCTTGACCTCATTTTCATGGTTCAGTGACTACTTAAAAAAAAGTCTACATTTTTTGTAATGTTCATTTCTTTCTTATTATGAGTAATAGATAATTATATTTAGTATGTGCGTACCTTGCAAGGTCTCATGCCTGTCAGACATTTTCATTTGACCTCAACCTCATTTCATGGATCAGTGAACAAGGTTAAGTTTTCGTGGTCAAGTCCATATATCAGATACTAGAAGCAGTAGGTCTACTATATTTGGTATATGGAATGAATGTAAGGTGTACATGTCCAACTGGTAGGTGTCATCTGACCTTGACCTCATTTTCATGGTTCAGTGGTCAAAGTTAAGTTTTTGCGTTTTGGTCTTTTTTTCTAATACTATATGCAATAGGTCAACTATATTTGGTGTATGGAAATATTTTATGATGTACATGTCAGTCTCACAGGTTTTATTCTTGACCTCATTTTCACAGTTCATTTCTCAGTGTTAAGTTTTTGTGTTTTGGTCTGTTTTTCTTCAACTATAAGCAATAGATCAACTATATTTGATGTATGGAAAGATTGTAAGGTGTATATGTCTGTCTGGCAGGTATCATCTGACCTTGACCTCATTTTCATGGTTCATTGGTCAATGTTAAGTTTTCATGGCTAAGTTTGTTTCTTAGATACTATAAGCAATAGGTCAACTATATTTAATGCATAAATTGATTGTAAGGTGTACATGTCTGTCTGGCATGGTTCATCTGACCTTGACCTCATTTTCATGGTTCATTGGCAGTGTTCCCGCCTTCCCTAAATAGAAGGGCGGCCCGCCCTTCTGCCCTCCAAAGTAAAAGAATGCACCCCTCTGCCTTTTCAAAAATATAAAATTTCCAAATTTCATGCCTACCGGCGTTTCTGGTAAAATTGTTACCTGATTGTGTAACACTAATTAACTGACAATGGGATTAAGTTAAATACCTAGTGCTTTGGCAGTTTTATCACCTTTGTTAATGATGGTTTACTGCTAATTAGTGGATTTAAGATTATTGAACAAATACTAGATATTTAATACAGAATGAAATGTCCACATGTTATCCATTTGTAATGTTTATGTACAGCATGTACACCTGAAAAAATTTATTTCAGTAGGCATAACATAAAAAATAAAATCTTAAACAATTTTAAAGGCATACATAGTTTTGACTTAATTGGTAAAAATGTTTTGTTTCATAACCATGAGTATGAAATTTAAAGAGGAATCAAAGAAATTTGTACTTTGAACATAACAAGATTCACTTCCTGTTTTTAATACTTCTTGTATTTTATAATCCTCCTGACATAGGAGCACTCAACAAATTTATTTTTAACAATGATGGAGAAAAAAGTAACTGTTTATACCTTCTGCTATATATTATTGCATCAATATAAAATATGATCATCTCCTGTCTCACCTGTTATATTTATAAAACTCCTTACTGAGGACCACTTTGGTGTGCACTTAAAAATACATTTTTGTAACAATTCAAATGATAATAAATAACTCTCAATAACATATATACTATATGTTTGAACAAGTAATTTAAATGTAGATAATTTAATTACATTCAACATTCAATTTTGCATGTATAACTCCATCTTTCAAAACTTTTTGTTTATTTTGGTATAAGTTATAAAACATTGAAATTTCTGATGATTATTTTCCATACCAAATGTACAAGTTTGTTTAGATTAACATCAAAATGATATGCTTTGCTTCATGGTATGATAATTTGATAAAAAAAAATTCTTACTGGAACCAACATCAAGAACACATTAATTTCTGAATATGGTTTAAATACAACTTATGTTCTCCAGCTGAGCCTAGCAATATTTAAGGTAATTTATACACTGTCCAACATTGCCTTTAAAATCTGGGTTATAACAATAAAGTTCCCTTTCAGACAACTAGCACCCTTCTGCCCTGAGACTCAAGCTGGAACACTGATTGGTCAATGTTAAGTTTTCTTGGTTAAGACTGTTTCTTAGAAACTATAAGCAATAGGTCAACTATGTTTGGTTTATTGAATGATTTTAAGGTGTACATGTATTTCTCATTTGGTTTATCTGACCTTGACCTCATTTTCTTGGATCATGTTAAGTTTATGTGTTACTTGAGGTAAAGCTTTATATTTAGGACTATCAACATAAAATCAATGGTTAGTAAAGAAGGCGAGACATTTCAGTGTGTGCACTCTTGTTTACTGTACTAATATATATATATGTAATCATCCATATTACAGTTTTGATTTTATTGCAGATTTAATACTGGTATCTGAGGAGAAGGGTGATGGTTTGTTCAAACCTCTGTGTGGTAAAGAAGAAGACAAATATCTTGAGTAAGTTATTGCAAAGTAAACATGAGATGTGGGTTGAACTTCAATGAGACAGCAACCCAACAAGAAGTTTACAAGAAAGATACATGTAGCTTTTTATCATGATTGTTGACTTTGCTTTGTTTCTTAAAATCAGAATAAGATAACCTCACCTTGCCAAATTCGCTGAGGTGAGCTGTTTTCTGTGGTGTCAACAATTTGTTAGTTTGTCATTAGGTCAATTTAAGTCAAAACTCTTACCGTAAGGCAATTGATTTTTGGTATGCATTTGTATTAGCATTGACACATCTCATTTCCATGGAGATCATGTGGCCCTGCCCCTCAGTCATGGTCTACTAACTTTGAAACTTTTGCATAGTTAGCATGTTGTGATAAGGTCAGTTTAAAATGAACCACTAATGGTTAGTCATTGAATTTTGTTTGCAAATTTATTAGCATTGGCACATCTCATTTCGAAGGAGATTATTTGACCTGTCCCCCTCAGTCATGGTTCATTGACTTTGAAACTTTGGCATAGTAAATCACTTCTGTATCTTGTCAAGTAAAAGTACATGTATGTTCAATTATGAGTAAAGTTTAGTTGTTTGTAAATTCTCCTTCTTTGTTACAAAATTTTTTATTGAGAGGAATTATTGCAAGGTGTTTGCATCTCTGAATATCTGAATATTTGTATTATTGTAGCATGTTTAAGACAGTTGAGTAGTATGGTTAGCAACACATTGCTTATTGTCATAGCATATACACATGATTTGAACACAACCAAACTTGTCCACAAGCATCATTTGGGTATCTAGTTTAAAAAATGTGTCTGATGACCCCTCCTGTCAGCCAAGATGGCCGACATAGCTAAAAATAGAACATAAGGGTAAAATGTTCAGCAAGACAAGATCTACAAATAAGTCAACATGACCAAAATCGTCAGACAACTCCTAATTAGAGTTATTGCCCTTTAATGACGATTTTTACAAATTTTTTTGTGTTTTTGCCTTACATCTTAAAAACTATAATAGATAGATAGAAATAGTACAAAGCAACCAGACAAGATCTACAAATAAGTCAACATTAACGAAATCATTAGTCTACTCCTTATTGAAGTTATTGCCCTTTAATGATGATTTTCTCATTATTGCAATAACTGCAATAGATAGATAGAAACTTTAAATAGCACAAATAATCAGCAAGACAAGCATACAAATGAGCCATAATGGCTGAAATCTTCAGTCGATTTGTTTTGGAGTTATTGCCCTTTAATGATAATTTTCTACATTATTTTGCAATTTTTGCCTATTATCTTGAAAACTTTAATAGATAAATAGAACTTTAAAAAGGAAAATATATCAGCAGGATAAGATCTACAAATATATCCACATTACTGAAATCGTCAGTTAACTCTTAATAGAGTCATTCCTCCATTAATGCTGCTTTTTCCTTTTTTTGTTGAAGATGCAGATGAGCGACATAGGCTCTTTAGAGCCTCTACTTTTTCATTTTACCAAAAAATCATTGATACAATTTACTATTTATGGAAACCATAATGAATTATGATGTCATACTTGAGGTACCCAAATTTAGTGCTTTAGGGAGAAAAATTCTCAATGTATTTATCCTAATGACGACATATTTAAAATAAATAATAACTGCAATTCTATGAAGTGTTTTATCAAGATTTATTTGTTCAATATATTACAGGAGTAAATACAGAGACCTGAGTGATGATGAGAGTGATGTCAGTTCTAGTGCTAGTATCCTTAAAACACCATGGAGAAAGGGTGTGGTTGCCACAGGGGGTCAGTCCATCAATCATAAAAATACATCAGTTAGAGGGAGGAGAAGCAAAGTTAAATCTGTAAATAGTGAGAGGAAAAATACAGACAAATCACAAATTGATAAAAAACAGAGGTTAGAATGTTTGCTTAAAGGTCAAAAACAATTGTATTTCAATATAGATACTAAAATTTTCACATTGCCCATTTGAAACATGCCTTGGGTAAACACATATTGTTGTTAACATCTTTGAAATAAAAACTAATAAATTGTTTAACATGCATGCAGTTCTATATTCAAAAGTCAATTAACAGCTTCAATTGTTTTCAAAATGAATGCATTGATACTTTATTATTAATGTTATAAAGTTCAAGTAGACTAGTTTCCAGATTTTCTTAAATCTTACTTCTCAATTTGTCATATGATTCCATTCTGAACCCTTAACGAAATAAATAGTTGGGGGAAAAAAGAAAAATACAACATATTTAGATTTTTAAACTTTATTAGATATGATCTTGATTGCAGAAATATTACAGAAAATGACTCTGTACATTTGGAGCTGAGTAAGGATACATTTGACTCACAGAAACCATCCACTTCTAGAACAGCCCTCAGACATACCAGAAAACCTATATATTTAAGTGATTCTTCAGATGACTCATTTAATGATAGAAAAACTTCAAGGCCAGATAGCAGCAAGTTGAATGAAGACCATAAAAACAAATCTGACACCAAACCAAGCCTGAAGAAATGTAGAAATACTTCTACAGATTCTACAGAGGAAAACTCAGATTTTAAAAATGAGGGTAGGATGATAGATATTCTTTGGGTGTCCTCACTTTTTAGATGGTAAATTGTTTACAATAGAAAGTGAAAAATTAGGAGGAATAAGCAAAAGATAGTTCTTTTTAAGTAGAAAATAACTTAAAAGAAGTTGGAAATGAGTTTCAATGAATAAAACTGAAAGGTAATAATTAAAATGGTTGCCTTATCTCTGTATGAGGGAATCTATTTAAAACCAAGTTATGTATAGTAGGAGTTCATATTTCACAGAAACATGTAGATATGAATAAAGGAAATATGTAATATATATCACTGAGAAAGCATTGTGATACACAAAAATTCAATAAAAGACATCTAGAAGTCAACATATGATCTTCAACAATAAATAGGTGTCTATAAAATATGTAAAGAAGTCTAAAAAAAGTTATGAATAAAATTAAAAGAAGCTAAAATCTAACATTAATCATGTGAACTTTAAATTCCACAAATTGTATTAATTTTCAGGTTTTGATGATTATGATTTGGAGAAGCCCAAGTTTAAGTTTACACCATCAGCTGCCAAGGTCCCGTACAAATTATCAGGACCAGATGAAATGCCTGTAATACAGGTAAACTAAAATAGAAGGTGAAAAGTAGTTCACAGTGACCTACATTACTTGTCTTATTGATTGAGCTTAAATTTTACAATCAAGATCAGTTTTCAGATACTAACCGAACTACAATCATATAACTTGAACTTAAACTTGAGGCAACCATCATTTTTTTAGGTTAATAAAATTGAGAATGGAAACGGGGAATGCGTCAAAGAGACAACAACCCGACAAAAGAGCAGAAAACAGCCCAAGGCCACCAAAAAATGCGGCGGGGTTAAACTTGTTTTGTGAGATCTCAACCTTCCCCTTATACCTCTAGCCAATGTGGAATAAACAAACACACAGCAATACGCACAGTAAAACTCAGTTTTAAAGAAGTCCAAGTCTGATGTTAGAATAGGTAATAACATTTTTTTTGTGACCCTTAACAACACTCAACAAATAAATGAAATCAAGAATGAATAATTATTAGAGGCCATTTACTATCAACTTAATGGAAATAATACGTTTGTGTTCTCCTTGTTTACCAAAGCCAAACTATATCTTTAGAAAATGAATTGAATATTTTAAACCGTCAACTAAATGATGTGTACTTTATATGTTTTGGAGTTTAGTGTGATGTCCATTTTCACTAAACTAGCACACAATTTTATTTAGGGGCCAGCTGAGGACCACCTCCGGGTGCAGGATTTTCTCGCTGCATTGAAGACCCGTTGGTGGCCTTCAGCTGTTGTCTGCTCTTTGGTCGGGTTGTTGTCTCTTTGACATATTCCCCATTTCCATTCTCAATTTTATTTAGAATGTTTCTTTTTCTTTTGATTTAATACTATCTTACTTGTACATAATTTTTTGTGCAGTTTCATTCTTATTTTCAGCCTGATTTACTTATGTGCCTTTTTAAAGCCATTGAAACAAAATTTGATAAAATATTTTATCATTGACATGTTACACATTTTTTGGTCCTTTTCTCTTTGTTGCCATGGCATTGTCAGTTTATTTTCGATTTAAGAAATTAAATGTCCCTTTGGTGTCTTTTACCATTCTTTTAAGCAGGCTATTATTGAAGAAAATCAGTTGATTTGTTATAAAGTAATAATCAAAGAGGCTAAATAGTTTTTATTGGATATATAAAATAGAGAATGGAAATGGGGAATGTGTCAAAGAGACAACAACCCGACCAAAGAGTAAAAAACAGCCGGAGGCCACCAACGGGTCTTCAACACAGCAAGAAAATCACGCACCCGGAGGCGGACTTCTGCTGGCCCCTAAACAAAAATGTGTACTAGTTCAGTGAAAATGGACTTCATACTAAACTCCTAAACATATAAATGAACTAAAATATATATGTATAGGTTTATGCCAAATTATACTGTTTAAAAGATGAAAATGTCTGTAATACAATAGCTTTATTTTTCTAGATACCTGCAACAATCAATCGTTATTTGAGAGACTATCAGAGGATGGGGATACAGTTTATGTATAATCATTACAAAAATGGTCAGGGATGTATACTAGGAGACGACATGGGTCTTGGTAAAACTGTTCAGGCAGGTCTATTAACAATTGTCATGATATTTAAGAATTATAATGTACATATTGAATTGAATTAATTGAATAATCATAGTTATCATGGTTATTGAAACACATTGCTTCCAGATTATAAAAATTTATTAGTCTATACTTAGTATCAGTTTTTGTCTTGGCTGAGACATAGGTATTGCCTTTCCGGTAACGACAATGTCAATAACTGTTAAGTTTTCTGCTTAGTTTGATTGATAGGAACTACTTGTGATAGACCAATGATATTTTGTATGAAGTTGCATTACTATCAGTACATGTCAGTTGGACAACTATTTTGAGGCCCTGCCCCCTAGGTCATGGTCCAGTGAGTTTGAATTAATTAGCAATGTTGCTGTCCATCAAATTGTTTTTTTTTGTCTCGCCTTGATGGAGTAGGAAAGCTACATTTAGGTATGCTGTTTCCGGCGGTGACCGCGTCTTCAACAATGTATTAGTTTGTGATTAGGTCAGTTTATGGGGAACCACTAGTGGTAGATCAATGATATCTGATATGCAGTTGTATTAGCATTGGCACATCTCATTTCCATGGAGATTATTTGGCCACTCCCCCTCAGTCATGGTCTATTGACTTTGAATGTTTTGCATAGTTTACATGTTTAAATATTGCCATGTGGATTCAATATTTGCATTATACTATCAAAATTATAAAAAAAATATCTCTGTGTCAACAGTTTATCTGAATTTTATGCCCACAGACAAGACATATCTCTGTGTCAACAGTTTATTAGAAAATGACGCAGTCAATTTTCTTTTACCATTGACCAGACTTCCAACCCGCATTCCGAACTCGGTTCCGTATTTTACATACTAAAAGTGCATGTTAGTATGCTCATACATTGGTAAAAGAAAGACAACTCCAGCGTTGCAAATGTACATTTTAAAATAACAGATGGTGTTGTCTCCCTTCAATATGTCTTGTTGTGTACAAAATGGCGGTCATTAACCTTCGTGACCGTCGGACAATTTTCAATCATGTTGTTGGAAATACAACTGGAACAGAATTTGTAATTTTCATTCTTTAATTTCTTAACCTGTCATACCTGCCAACTTGCACGATTCAGGCGTGAAATACACGATTTTGACCCCTTGTCACGATTGCACGATTGTGATCGTGTAAAAACCTCTAAACCACGATTTTGTTTAATTCTACTGTTCCCAATATTTCGAACTTTCTCAAACTTTTCCCAAGGGAGACAACTGTGATCAGCCAATCAAAATCGTTGTTTCTCCTGATCTTTGGGTATTGTAAACTGCAAATGTGCTAAATTTTGAACTTGTTAGTAACTCAGAATATTGTAGAAATCGTGATCATGGCAGACCAATTTCAAGTACAAGAAGGTTCTTACACAGCTGAAGAAGTAAATCATGACTGATTGACAAAGTTCAAAGATACAGTTCAACCATAAACATAATAAACAGTAGCTAATGGACAAATTTTACACTTATGGTAACAGATCATACATGTTGTCATTATTGAAATTAAATTACCAAATCAATTAAAGTACAATGTTCTATCTTTTAATTTTCACAAGGAATCAGATATATTTCCTTCTTTGTGCATATTTTTATATTTGAAAAGTCAACAATCACTTTAATATTCCTGTGACCAATAATCTGATAATCCACCTTCAAGGTTCATCTACATGTAATATACACCAACAAAAATGGCTGTGTTTACACCATGAAATTTTCTCTGAATGCAGACAAAACTGTAATTCTAATAGTTTTAAATCCTGGCAGCACCTGGCCACAACTTCTCTTTTTCCTGTGGTACCTGAAAACAATAAACCCGTTTGGTACATTGTTGAGGTCTGAAAGTGACTTATAACTGCCAACAGCCACATTATTTGGACTCTGGTAGATAGTACATCTGACTGTTATCTCATTGGCAATCACACCCCATCTCCTTATTTTATTACGGGTCAATTATTTGAAATAAATGACTACGGTACTCAACATTAAATCATTTGAAAAAAAATAATTTTGCAATAATTTATGTTGTCATTTTAAGATTTCAGTGTAAGCTTGCTTACTACAGCCTCTTCACAATGAAATTAAGTTGTATAGATGGTGTCACTTTGTTTATAATTGTGAAACTAGTATAACAATACTTTTGTCTAAATCTACAGAAATTTATCATGTTTAGGTAACTGAAATAACAATGTGATGTTGTCACTAGGTCACCTGTAACTTATCTCTTGAATAAGGACTATGTTGGGTATAAGAGCTTTCTTACTACAGGCTCTTCATAATCATTTTGTTAAATAATTCTACAAATAAGGGAAACACATTCACATATTACTTTGAATATTGTAGATTGTTCAGGTAGTCTTGAGCTATTTCTTTGTACAGCAGAACAACTAGTAGTTATTTTCACTTCACACACATATATATATATCTTGACAAACAAATAAAAACGCTATAGATTGTGGAAACAATTCATATCTATTCTATCAGTCACCCTACCTACCATAAATTGAAACGTCGCCTAAGATTCAGTAGGTAAATTAAGTAAAAATCTAGACTTGTATCAAAACTATCCCAATATGAGAGACAATGGCGTCATTTTTAAAGGCAGTGCTTTAATGCCTTTCTAGTTGCCGTGTTAATCTTTCTTTCCGCGATATCCAACTTATCTACGTGGGGGGTCATTAGGCTCCAAGTAGATCCGGAAAATGATGATTCTCTCCTCTTCTTATTGTGATATAAAATGTTTTTTGTTTCATTTCATTTACATTGGGAAATAGAGAAACGATCATTGTGTTTTGTTGGTTTTAAAAACTTTTGATATATTTGTATTTTACATTATAAGCAGTCAACCGATTGACAAACTAGAATTATTTGAATTCCGTGTGGAAAGAGGTCCGGTTAATTTGAGTGTTATCTGCAAACTAGATGTTTATAAATCATTTCAGTCGTTGATATAATAATTAAAGGTCGACTGAACATGAATTATATTATACAATTTAAAGCGCATTTCTGTTTATGCACGCGAACCCGTCTAACGTTATTGTTATTTCGCAGTTATATAAAGTAGCAAATTATCGTTCCTGAATAGGTGGCGCCGTGGTAGCCGATCCTGTTCTTCAACTTCCGGTTTCTGCACTGTGCAACTATTACAGTTGCATTTTTAATTAACCATGCCAAGTACTTGTTGTTGTGTACCTGGATGTCAAGAGGAGGACATGCATTTCCAAATGACTTAAAAAAGAAGGAAAAGTTGGATCAACGCCATGGCCCATACGCAGATTGGACGAGAACACGATGAAATCGTGGAGTCCATCTCAATCAGCTGTTGTTTGCAAGGCAGATTTTTTCTGAAAAAGACTATGTGCATGAAACTATTCATGGTAAAACTCTATTTTCTTTTTAAAATATATAGTTATATATGTAATCGCCATGCGAATAAACCAAAGTCTGTTTACAACCGCAATTATCGTTTTAGAATAAAAGAGGGTGGTTAATTCAAGACGTCATAATTTTTTGGATTACGATTCAATGTGATCTGTTTGAGATTTTTTGGTGCTTGCTACAATTATAATGATTTCTTACAAGAGGTAAATCATACTGAGAATTATTTTAGCAGTAATTATGCTAATGTAGTAATGACAGGAATGCATAAGCTATGCCTCATAGACTTTCTTGAAAAATATCAATGACAATGTTAACAGGAACAAAACAATGACATGCTCTCATCTATATTATAGTTATTTAGGTACAAACAATGTATGTTTGTTGCATATGTCTCTCATTGTTTGTCCTTTGGATTTACATAACATACATTTTGATGTACATTGATTCAGGCTAACATAATTTTATCCAGATTGTAATGAATAAATCTAGTTAATATTTGCCAGGTAGTACAAAGTATGCATTGCTAATGGAAGTTCATTTAATTATCAAAAAACTAATGTTTTATAACCTTTTTCAGGGCGCAAACCCACCATACAGAGACTTAAGTCTACTGCCATTCCCAGCCTATTTTCCTGGACCAAGCAAGAGACTGAATCGTCCGCAAAAAGAAAAATCAGGGCAGTTTCCTGTGAAAACAAAAGAACTAAACTTGATGAATATTGTAGTAGAAATCTAGAGGAAAGTTTTGATTATATAGTTGGTTTTCCTGAAGAAGTCATTCATACTGCAGACAGGATTTATGACTGTCCACCACCAACTGCCGAGCTAATGTTGAGCTTCACAGATGGAATTACGCAAACACCATCAATGCCTATATTTTCAGCAGAGAATTTTGAAATGAAGACACGTGACACAGCCATGCATTTTTATACCGGTTTAGAGTTGTATACTAAATTTTTATTTGTTTTCACCACACTTGGTCCAGCAGCACATTGTTTGAGATACATATATTTTCAAATTGATAGGGTGTCATTTGAAAATCAGTTTTTTTATGACTTTGATGAAATTGAGGCATTATACAACCAACTTTGAACTGTCTAGATTCTAGATTGAAACTAGTGTTAAGAATATTGTGAAAACATGGATTGTTTTTATGTCTAAACAGTGGCGTGAGGCTAACACTTGGCCATAAGTGGTTTAGTCAGGTATTTTTCGCCTTCCAACTTCAAATTAAAGTTTCCTACAACTTGGATTATTATTGACAGCACAGAATATCCCGTGATAAAACCTAAAGCTCCTAGAGCTCAGGCAACCTTTTCATCATATAAAAACAGAAACACTGAAAATACTTGTATGTTCGACACCTGGTGGTTTAGTCAACTATGTCTCTAATGCATATGTTGGTTGTACCAGTGACTGTAAAATAGTTCAATTATGTGATCCAGGTGACAGTGTGATGGCAGACAAAGGTTTAAATGTGCAAGATTTGTTTGCTCACTTTTTTTCAAAAAAAGAAACAGAATTAGTTCCAAAACTCTTATACGGGATAGAAAAGTCTCCAATTAACATGTGCACATAGAGCTAATTATTGAACTTGGCAAAACATACAAAATTCTAATAAATCCTATGAATGGAACTGAAACAAAACTTTCATCTGAAATAACATTTAGTTGTTTTATGTTGTGTAATTTCAGAACTTGTATTGTGCCAAAGGATGCATAAATAAAAGTGACGCAATGAAGTTTGTTCTGATATACATATATAAATATTATTTACAATTACATGCACATGTAAATTGTAATGCATATAAAGATAAGGAGATGTGGTATGATATTCAGTGAGTTTATCGAACCAAAGTGCATAAGAAATGGGTTAAGCAGTTACAGGTGTTACTGTCACCGTACAATCTCCAACAACATGAACAATTAGAAAAACTTGTACCGTGTAAAAAATTTCAGAGATCTTACAACTAAGTTTGACTTTGGTGAATTGTTTATATCTGTTGATGTAAATATATAAAAGAAGAACAACTGATAAAAAATCTTGCATCTAAGACTAAATTATCAATCCGTAAGCTCCCTTTAGAATTTTATAAATTTTAGATTTTACATTTCTGAGTTATGGGGTTTTATTCATTAAAAAAGGGGGGATTTTCCAGTTTTTGGACAACAACTCAAAAATGCTTTAAGCAGTTCGCATGAAACTTTGGTGAATTATTTATAGCTATTGATGTAATCTCCCTATTGATTTTTTATAAATTTCTAATATGACATTGAGAAGAAATTGAACTTTATTTGTTTATAGTCTGGCAACAGATTTATTAAGTATTGCGCAACAGCACAGTGTATTGCACAACAGCAAGAAATCTTTAATTGAATATAAATTCAATTCATATAACCGATTTCAAGTTCTTTGACTACATTTATTCAGAAACTATAATATGTCAAATATTTAATTACAATCCAAATTCAGACCTGTATCAAGCTTGAATATTGTGTCCATTTTTGCCCCAACTGTTCAGGGTTGGACCTCTGCAGGTGTATCCAGCTGCGCTCAGCGAATCAGTTTATTTCTTAATTAAGAACTCCTTTTTGTTGAGCCTGCGACTTTTGTCGCAGAAAGCTCGACATAGGGATAGTGATCTGGCGGCGGCGTTAGCTAACTCCTTAAAAGCTTTATATTTTAGAAGGTGGAAGGTCTGGATGCTTCATACTTTGTATATGGATGCCTCATGTTACGAAGTTTCCGTTAGTCACATGTCCAATGTCCTTGACCTCATTTTCATGGTTCAGTGACTACTTGAAAAAAAAGTTAAAAGATTTTTTGTAATGTTAAATTCTCTCTTATTATAAGTAATAGGATAACTATATTTGGTATGTGCGTACCTTGCAAGGTCCTCATGCCCGTCAGACAGTTTTCACTTGACCTAGACCTCATTTCATGGATCAGTGAACAAGTTTAGTTTTGGTGGTCAAGTCCATATCTCAGATATAAGCAATAGGTCTAGTATATTCGGTGTATGGAAGGACTGTCCAACTGGCAGGTGTTATCTGACCTTGACCTCATTTTCATGGTTCAGTGGTTATAGTTAAGTTTTTGTGTTTTGGTCTGTTTTTCTTATACTGTATGCAATAGGTCTACTATATTTGGTGTATGAAATGATTGTAAGGTGTACATGTCTAGCTGGCAGGTGTCATCTGACCTTGACCTCATTTTCATCGTTCAGTGGTCAAAGTTAAGTTTTTGAGTTTTGGTCTTTTTTTCTAATACTATATGCAATAGTTCAACTATATTTGGTGTATGGAAATATTTTATGATCTATTTGTCAGTCACGTAGGTTTTTTTTTACCTTGACCTCATTTTCAAGGTTCATTGCTCAGTGTTAAGTTTATGTGTTTTGGTCTGTTTTTCTTAAACTATAAGCAATAGGTCAACTATATTTGTTGTATGGAAGAATTGTTAGCTGTACATGCCTGCCTAGCATGGTTCATCTGACCTTGACCTCATTTTCATGGTTCATTGGTCAATGTTTAGTTTACTTGGTTAATGTTAAGTTTATGTGACAGTTGTAATAAAGCTTTATATTTAGGACTATCAACATAATATCAATGATTAGTAAAGAAGGCGAGACATTTCAGCGTGTGCACTCTTGTTTCATTCATAAATTACTTTATACTTGGAAATATAATTTTGCTTGGAGTTATAGTTTCTAAAAAAAGTATTGTCATTGAAAGAGTTGACATGTTGCAATGTACATTTATTCTACATAGTTCTATGGTACCAAATCAAAAGTTTATATAAAAGAAAGAAGTCAAGGGTTTCCAATCATAGTTTAGTTACATACATTTTTTTTGTACCTGAGGTCGTTGAATATAGATCATTTTATATAAATAAGGATATGTGTTATGATTGCCAATGAAACAACTATCATCCATACATTGTACTTACCAGTAACAAACCACATTTGCAAAGTTGAATAAAATACAGTTGATAACATTTACTTATTACTAAAAAGAAAATGCCAAACTATTTTAAACAGTATTTGACTATAAACATAGATAAAAAAGGTACAAACTGGACATAATGCACTAGTTCATAAACAAGTGAGAACAATCGCCTTCATATAGTGCTCAGAATATGACATTCATAAAACTTGTTCAATATCATTAGAGAACTCTAAATCTTAAATACTGAAAGCCACCTCTGATAAGTACAATGTACTATGCAAGATAATGATATAACTGGACTAAAAATACACACAACCTGTAATTAACTGCCTTCACAACGCTTTCGCGCTTTGATTACTTAGAGCTTTCAGCTCTTTGATTTTTAAACTTATGGAAAAAACTATATTTTATATATTACAATCTGAAGTAGTTAATGCTACATGATTGATCTCATTATTCTGGTGCTCAATGAAGATACATTCTCTTAAATCTTATGGTTACTTAGCATAATTTGGGTACTAGAAATGATAAATTGAAAATTTTATAAAGTTTACCATATATTCAATAGCCAAAATATGATTATTATTTTAGTCCATAAATGTAGTGCTTTGAGTTGAATTGCCCACCCTAATGCAAGCTATAGAAAACCTTTCTACAGGAAATTATAATTTGGTTGTGTTATGATCATATCAAAAAACTATCTCTGATTCTCTTCCTCTTCTGTGGAAATAATATTGATTGATTGGTGATTGCTTTACGCAGCATCAGCACAAAAAGGCTATATCGCGGTGAGTGGAAATAAGATGTTGATTTGAAAAAAGAAATATGTCAACTCTTTGTGTGAAAAATGTTTTGTCTCTTATTTCCCAACGTAATAAAATTGGTAGAATTTATTACTAAAGTAATATATAAGTCTAACCATAAAAACATAATAATGAAGTATTAAAACCTAAATGACCTTCACATGTTACAAGTCGTCAAGCAGGCTGCTTTGATTTTTTGGTTACGTTTTTTTCTTTCTTTTGACTGTCTTTCCAAAATAACTCAGACAATATAGTTGAACAATATAAAATAAAGCATGAACATGCACATACATACAGAAACTTTTTTTTTTTATTTAGATTTCTTACAAACTTGGTAAATGAATAGAAAACAATGAAATGATATTGTATACTTGAAGATAATGTCAAAAGTCAACAATTCATATATGCTGACAATAAAACACCATAACATTCCAACAAATGAAGGAGATGGATAGTAGGATTTATCTGACATCATTTATATACAATAAATTCTAAAAATTGGTTAAACAATGAAGCTTATTTGCATTTAATAAACAAAATGAAGCCTGTTACTCATATTTTGTCTGTATTTAGCATTGAATTAATTTCATGTGCCTTCCTCTTTATTCAAAGGTGATTGGATTTACATCTGCCTTAATGAGAAAGCATGGAAATAGAATAGATATGCTGAAACATAAACCAAAGTTTATTAGACAGGTAAGTATTTAGTGTTTCATAAAAATATTGATAGTGTTTTAAGAAGAGATATGTGGGCTACAGTGTAAAATCAATTAAACTACTACTAAAAGAACAATACAAGTCTGCCAAAAACAGATATTAAGTGATCACCTTGTAGTTCATGATAATGGACAAATGGGTTTTTCTCATTGTTGAAGGCCGTACGGTTGCCTATAACTGGTTACATCTACTTCATTTGAACTTTGGTGGATAGTTGTCTTATTGGCAGTCATACCACATTTTCTATATTTTTATAAATGTATATATGTCCCCATGTCTGCCAATTGAAATATTGGCTTCAAAGACTACATACTGAACAAAAGATGAGATACTTCACTCAAAATAATTCAATAGATGCATGGTAACTTTATATTATATCAAATTTTTGTGAAGATGTTTTATTTTTGCTTTTGGATATTGTGTAGATATCCTTATGAACACACACATACATAGTTGTATAATTTTATCAAAACATGAAAATGCTTGAATTTCTTGTTAACTGTGTTTCTCTTGTTAAATGCTTTTTTATGAATAATCAATTTGGTTAAGTCAGAAATAAAGAATACAGTCATATGTTTTTCTTTTAAAAATATAGAATACAGACATTTTTTTACTTTTAGATGTCAGACAACAAGAAGAATCTTGAGGATGACGAGACTGCCCCTATGGACCCATTCCTTATTATAGGACCAGGAAGTGTATTGTATAATTGGATGGATGAACTTGAAACATGGGGATACTTTACTGTTGGGTAAGATGTTTGAACATGACACATGGGGATACTTTACTGTTGGGTAATGTTTGAACATGACACATTGGAATACTTTACTGTTGGGTAATGTTTGAACATGACACATGGGGAATACTTTACTTTTGGGTAAGATGTTTGAACATGGCACATGGGGATACTTTTCTGTTGGGTAAGATGTTTGAACATGACACATTGGAATACTTAACTGTTGGGTAATGTTTGAACATGACACATTGGAATACTTTACTGTTGGGTAAGATGTTTGAACATGACACATTGGAATACTTTACTGTTGGGGAAGATGTTTGAACATGACAAATCGGAATACTTTACTGTCGGATAAAATGTTTGAACATGACAAATAGGAATACTTTACTTTCGGGTAAGGTGTTTGAACATGGCAAATCAGAATACTTTGCTGTTGGGTAAGATGTTTGAACATAACAAATTGGAATACTTTACTGTTGGGTGAGATGTTTGAACATAACAAATCAGAATACTTTACTGTTGGGTAAGATGTTAGAACATGACAAATCTGAATACTTTACTGTCAGATAAAATGTTTGAACATAACAAATTGGAATACTTTACTGTTGGGTAAGATGTTAGAACATGATGCATCGGAATTCATTACTGTTGGGTAAGATGTTTGAACTTGACACATTGGGTTCATTATTATGACAAAAACATTATCTAGGACAAACAAAGACATTTATAGTCTGATTAAGATTGTCTATCAGTATTGAGATGTGATGTAATAAAACAAATAAGACCAGTGATATAATGATTAGTTTCCAGTAGTAGAACTGTGATAGGATCACTTGCTTGTTCAAACTGATAACATTTAAAAGGTAAGTTGAAAGTCAGGATTTGCCATAACAGAATGACACTACTAAATACACCTGCTCCCTAAACTAAAGGTAAAGTTGAAAGTCAGGATATGCCATAACAGAATGACACTACTAAGTACTACTGCTCCCTAAACTAAAGGTAAAGTTGAAAGTCAGGATATGCCATAACAGAATGACACTACTAAGTACTACTGCTCCCTAAACTAAAGGTAAAGTTGAAAGTCAGGATATGCCATAACAGAATGACACTACTAAATACACCTGCTCCCTAAACTAAAGGTAAAGTTGAAAGTCAGGATATGCCATAACAGAATGACACTACTAAGTACTACTGCTCCCTAAACTAAAGGTAAAGTTGAAAGTCAGGATATGCCATAACAGAATGACACTACTAAATACACCTGCTCCCTAAACTAAAGGTAAAGTTGAAAGTCAGGATATGCCATAACAGAATGACACTACTAAATACTACTGCTCCCTAAACTAAAGGTAAGTTGAAAGTCAGGATATGCCATAACAGAATGACACTACTAAGTACTACTGCTCCCTAAACTAAAGGTAAGTTGAAAGTCAGGATATGCCATAACAGAATGACACTACTAAGTACTACTGCTCCCTAAACTAAAGGTAAAGTTGAAAGTCAGGATATGCCATAACAGAATGACACTACTAAATACTACTGCTCCCTAAACTAAAGGTAAGTTGAAAGTCAGGATATGCCATAACAGAATGACACTACTAAATACACCTGCTCCCTAAACTAAAGGTAAAGTTGAAAGTCAGGATATGCCATAACAGAATGACACTACTAAGTACTACTGCTCCCTAAACTAAAGGTAAAGTTGAAAGTCAGGATATGCCATAACAGAATGACACTACTAAATACACCTGCTCCCTAAACTAAAGGAAAAAGAGAAATGTGGAAGAGAACAAAATGGCCACACATATAAATATTATATTTTGTTTCAGTATCAAGCAGTATTATTTTGAACAAATTATGTACATAAGATCAATACATCTAATGACCTTTCATTTATAAAAGGCCCACTGTTTATGTATATCTTCCTATAGGAAGTTTCATGGAACAGACAAAGAGCAGTGCTTTGCAGACACAAAGAAAGGAAAGCATGAAATTGTTATTACAACATATGAAACATACAGAGACAACCAGGTATTTTTAGCTGTCTTGTTCTTACACTTTTTGAGAGTCACAGAAATGTTGATAGATGTCATGAGAGTAAAAGAGTATGATTTAAATCAAATTTTTATTTTAAATTGAAAAAAGAAGGTTTTTTTACTTGATACCTGAATTTCTAAATGTTCAGTATTAAATTCTTTTGAAATGCATGACAAATTACTGTGGATTCATTATTATTCGTTGGATACCAATTTTTGTCTCCCCTTGACGGAGTCAAAAAGCGAGACAAAGGTATGCTGTTTCCGGTGGCATCAACAATGTATTAGTTTGTGATTAGGTCTAGTTCATGGTGAACCACTAGTGGTAGGTCAATGATATTTGATATGCAGTTGTATTAGCATTGGCACATCTCATTACCATGGAGATTATTTGGCCCCGCCCCCTCAGTCAAGGTCTTTTGACTTTGAAACTTTGCTTAGTTTACATGTATTAGTTTGTGATTAGGTCAGTTTATGGGGAACCACTAGTGGTAGGTCAGTGATATTTGGTATGCAGTTGTATTAGCATCTGCACATCTCATTACCATGGAGATTATTTGGCCCCGCTCCCTCAGTCAAGGTCTATTGACTTTGAAACTTTGCTTAGTTTACATGTATTAGTTTGTGATTAGGTCAGTTTATGGGAACCACTAGTGATAGGTCAATGGTATTTGGTATGCAGTTGTATAAGCATTGGCATATCTCATTTCCATGGAGATTATTTGGCCCCGCCCCCTCATTCTTGGTCTATTGACTTTGAAACTTTTGCTTAGTTTTCATGTATTAGTTTGTGATTAGGTCAGTTTAAGATGAACCACTAATGTAAAGTCAATGATATTTGGTATGCAAATGTATTGGCATTTGCAAGTTTCATTTCCATGGAGATTATATAACCTCACCCCCTAATTATGGTTCATTGACTTTGAATTTTTTACATAGTTTACAAGTTAATGTTTGTGTTTATGTTTGTTTATAGGGAACGACTTACGAAAAGACAATGGTATAAATTTGGTATGCAGTTGTATAAAATTTGGCACATCTCATTTCCATGGAGATTGTTTAGCCCTGTACCTTCAGTCATGGTTCATTGACTTTGAATATTTGCATAACTTTCATGTTAAAGTATTGCTATTTTAATTTCAACATTTGCATTATCAAAATAACTAATAGGCGAGACATATCTCTGTGTTAACAGTTTATTGTGGGTTTCGTGGGTAAAGGTAGACCACGAAATCAAATGTTCAACGAATAGCAAATTTCCTATAGTCTTATATGCAGACTTTGGCAAAACCACGAAATCAAATATCCAAGGAAAAGCAAGTTTTCCTCAATCCAGGAAAATTTGTACCCACAAAAATAAATGAATCCACAGTATAGGGAATTGTAATAATTGGATCCCTAAACTGACAATGTGACATCACTTGGGTAGAGGTAAGTAGTGGTCATTGTGTTAGTTGTGTAATAATTTGATCCCTAAACTGACAATGTGACATCACTTGGGTAGAGGTAAGTAGTGATCATTGTGTTAGTTGTGTATAGTTGATAACGTAAACCAATCCTTTCAATTGTTGATTTGTTTTTGCAGAAGTTCTTTATATGCTTTATAGCCCAATGTACCTAATTATACTGTGTAAATCCAACTCCTTGACCTAGCCAGTCGCTATTATATTTGATAGAATGTTTTGTCATGATCGGTGATCACTCATATTAGTCTTTCAATTTTGTTTTGACTAATTTGCAATAGCTATGGTAGTTTTCCATTTTATATATATCTACATACATAATTATTATTTGTGAATGCAATTACTTTGAGACCTTTTGTCCAGTAGCTGTTATTTTAGCTGTAAGATGGATTGGCAACATTGCATAGTTGAGATCAACATGTCACACTGCCTTGACAATTTTTAAGAGCTCAACTTTTTTTCTACTTTACATTGAAAATGTCTTTAGTGGCAGTACTTTTGTTGTATTTTGTACTGAAAAATTATTTCATCAGAGTCATTTTATGTTAGAATAATATTTGAATAATATTTGCAGGAATTGTTAAATTCTATCAATTGGTCAGCTGTTATTGTTGATGAAGTTCACAAGATAAAGGTATTTAATATTTGTTTAGTTTCATATGTATTCGTTTAAAAGGGGCCTCTGCAGTCAAGTATTTTAAGTAGTTCATATACTGCATCACTAGCCTGTCAACACTGATGTTGTGAGTTCAAACCTTGTTTGACTCTAATCTTTATTGACTAGGATTACCAGTTTTCCTACAGGAGGTCGTTGGTTATCTTCAAGCACTCTGGCTTCCCCCACCATTAAAAGCTGGCCACCACGAAATAATCAGTAGTGCTGAAAGTGGTGTTAAAACACCAAAAGTCAATCATTTGCTTAATATGTGAAAAAGGCAAATTCCCTTTAATAAGGGCTTTAGAAATCAATTAATTTATTTTGCATTGGTTAACAGACCTATGTGCCTTCTGTGTATTATGTGTATTAATATTAATAAAATCTAGTATATTTTAGGGTCAGCAAGCACAAATTACCCAAGCGCTGAAAGCCATCAACACTGACCTAAGATTTGGTCTAACAGGCACTGCACTTCAGAATGACATGTTAGAGCTTTGGTGTATTTTAGATTGGTAGGTAGTGAAAGAAAACATTGAGCTTAACATAGTTATGGTTGTCATGAGAACATCTCTTTGTAAAATATGCAAATAAAGACAAAAAAGTCAGTTAACATGGAAACTTAGTACATGCATCTTCTACTTTTTCCGGAAACAATATATTTATTTTAAACAAAAAAAATATAGTATAGTGATTATAAAAAAAAACTTACATTAAACATAAAGTATTGAATCAACTGATTTCAGATTGTCAAAACCAAGGCTTCCAAAACGGTCATATATTCCGGACATTTGTATAATATCCTGTAAAAGTCCGGCTGGGCAAAGCATGAAACAGACATCTACTTTTTAGTTTTCAAGGCTTAAGTCTTAAGAGACGGTCATTTTAACATAATTCGCGATCTTTTTGACCCAACCTTTTGCCTTTAACAGCCACACATTTCCGGTCATAAAAGTGACATGATCATTAAGTACTATCAAAACAACCCCTACCGGACATTGATCGGTCTATTCAAAGTTATTCAAAGTTATTTTCTTACATTTCAGCGGTTTGCATCTAATTAATTTAGTTAAAAAGATTTAAATTATCAGAAATATGTTTACAAATATGATTTGATGAAAAAATTAAAAAGGTGAAAATGAAAAATCGTCCACGTTGTTTGAACCAGAGACATGTCTCTGTTTGAACTAGTACACGTGTGCGCATGTGCGCAGGTGTGAAATTTAATTATGCATCCTAATTTCTTCAAAAAATGCTTAAATTGTCATTGATACCTTTATCTCACGTTTATTTCAAATATTTTTCTTGAACAAATAACGTAGAATGAGCTACTTACACTCATTCATGCTTTGATGATCATTTATCCGTCTCTGGTCCATGTTTTACCATTGTCAAGATAACATCTGGTTTAGATTTAAAAAACGAAAGTAAAGTTTTTGACAACGTTATTTTGCCAAATAAAGAGTCTAAGCAGATATAAGTACGCTGATGTTGCACACTTCGAATGATGCACTGCCAATTAAATAGTTTATGTCAGAATTTTGAATTTGAATCAAAGAAAGTTTAATATCGTTTTTTTTTTAATGTCAATCATTGGGATGGCCAACTCGGCAACTGATTACCATAATTGCCTTTTATTTATTTAGTCTTAAGGGATTAAAATCGGGATAATATATAAAATGTCCGGCTGGCTAAAAATAATTTTGGAAGCCCTGGTCAAAACGTTGTTTGTAACTTGAAATGAAAATAGTGTTACATCATTGACAATAGTAATAATTGATGTTTCCACTAAGCATTTTGGAACATACTTGTGAAAATATAACCCACAAGTCATTAGATTCAGAAATGGTGACTGAAGAAAAGTACAAATATGTAGAAGAATTATTTAGTTATATGACCTTTGTTTACTACTTATTTTTTACCTTATAGGGCTCAACCAAATTGTCTAGGAGATCCTGAAGAATTTAAGTACAATTATGTTGAACCAATAAAACAAGGACAGAAAATTGATGCAACCAAAAGACAATTAGCTGAAGCCAGAAAATGTAAGCAGCATTGTATCTACTGTATCAAAATATTGAAAATTGTCCTAGAATTAGTCAATACATTATACAGAAATAACCAATTCATATGGAGATTATATGGTTTCACAGTACAAAAACTTGAATTATACTTTTTGATTAAAGACAAATAAATATGTTTTGTTTGTTTTTTAAAGTTGTAATACTTGATTTTGAATTAGAATGTTTAACTGTATTGATTTGGCAGATAATTAAAATGTATCAGAGCTGTTGGAATCATAGATAAGTCAACCTGTACTTTGACTAACATGGGACTAGTCATAACCAAACATCAAAGCCAACATTTTCTGTTATTTCTTGCTTGTAATAATATAAAAAAAAGAAGATGTGGTATGATAGTCAATGAGACAACTTCACCATAGACCAAATGACGTAGAAGTAGGCAACTATAGATCACCATACGGCCTTCAACAATGAGAAAAACCATACCTCATAGCAAGCTGACCAAGGCCCTGAAATGACAAATATAAAACAATTCAAACGAAAAAACTAATGGCCTGATTTGTGTTCAAAACAATAAACTAAAAAACAAATACTGTTGATTCATTATTATTTGTGGGGATATTTATTTTCAAGGATTTTGTGGGTGCTGGTAAACCACTTATTTATATGTTCAACGAAGTACAATTTTTCTATAGACTTGTAGGCAGACTTAAGTAAAAACCACTAAATCAGATATCCACGAAAATACAACTTTTCCTTAATCCACGAAAATTGGTACCCAGGAAAATAAATGAATTCACAGTATGTTTATTACACACCTGCCTGTGCTTGGGGATTTGAATTTTTGAGTATAGAAATAGTATTGATTCCTGAGTTTAACTCAACTGTTAACCAATGTTTACATTACAGTAATCATTTATATTTCTAGTGAAAGAAAAATTTTCAGCTATCAGAAATAAGATGTTGTTGAGGAGGACGAAAATGTTGATATCAGATCAGCTGCCAACAAAAGATGACAATGTTGTGTATTGTCGTTTGACACCCTTCCAGGAAGCTGTCTATAAATGTCTACTGCAACATCCACTTATGAACACTGTAATGAAGATGGACAAACCATGTGACTGTGGAAGTGGACATATAACAGGGACATGTTGTAATGTTAGTAAATATCTCATGTAGCAGTAAAAAAAATATAAGAGATTTGTTCACAGGAATCATACCAATTTTTATGTCCCCGCCGTTTGCAACGGGGGCATTAAGTGTTACCCTTGATCGTCTGTCCTTCAGTCTTTCCATCCTTCTGTCTTTCCGTCTGTCGGTCCCATTTTTCTTTGTTTGAAGCTTGAAGGGGGGCATTCATGTCATTGGACACATTCTTCTTTTATTTTTAAACAAAGAAGAATACAAGAGCATCCCTCACCTTCTCCAATAAAAAAGGGAAAAAAAGAAGACTAGCACTTCCTACCAAAAAGAATTTGCATGCATTTAGTTTTTAAAAAAAGGAGATAAAATGTAAAGTAGGCAGGAGAAATCATGTTTTTTTTACAGCACTTTTGAATATGCCCATCAATCAAACCTAAAACTTTCATATCTAACTTGAGAATTGGACACAACTGGGTTTTACAGTTAATGTTTTCAGTGGAGGTTTGGTCTTTTCATTTAGACACTTTACACAAAAAATGTAGGTATGTTACTACTCAAAATAGAAATTCCCTTTTTAGAAAAATTAAAGTCATTTATTATGCCCTTGCCATAGGCAATGGAGGCATAAAGTGTTACCCTTGACTGTCTGTCTGTCTGTCTTTCTGTCTGTCCTTCCAACTATCCCATTTTCATTCTTGCACTCTAACTTAAGATTTCCTCATCAAAATTTAATGAAACTCATACACAATGCTAAGAACTTAAACTAGCAGACAGTGTTAGAATTTGGGCAGTGAGTCACTTACTGTTCTAGAGTTATGCCCCTTTATAACTTGGAAAATTACAATTTTTTCATTTCTGTACTCTTAAGTTTTTTGTCATCCAAATTTTATGAAACTCATAACACGCAGACAGAGTTTGAATTTGGGCTGTAAGTCATTTACCCTTTTAGAGTTATGCCCCTCTTTAACTTGGAAAATTGCAAAGCTTGAGGGGGGGGGGGCATTCTTCTTTTATTTTTATTTGTTATTGAATAATATAATATTATTTAAATTAGTGTATGGGGAGTAAAACAGAATGACCGTGTGTATAGGACTTTAAGGGTTGACAAAATTACCGTATTTTTCATATTAGATTCGAAATAATTCATGGAAGCTGTAGATTTGTTTTCATTTAACCATGGGTTGGGCATTTATATTCCTATTTTACCTCTTGCTATTGTTTGGGATAAAATAATTGAATATAAATGCCCAACCCATGCTTAAATGAAAACAATTCTATGCCTGCCATGATTTATTTCTTAATTAAAAAACAGCTCCATAACCAAGGTCATATTAAAATCTATATTGTCTTAATTCACTTGCAACATTCAGAAATTATAATGGATCATAAGATTAAGCAAAAATTTTCAGTTTTTGAACAGCCGTGTTCAACAAAAAGAATTTTGTCAACACAAAACCTCACATTTTCATTTTGTTTTAAGCTTATATTTGTTTAAAACCTTTGGAGACATGATTTATTATATGAATATGAAACTAATCAAGTACAAAATGTATAGTGTTTAATTGTCTGATTTTTTTTATATCGATAAAAGAGCAAACATTTTCAATTGAGGTTTTATATTCTTTTCAGAAACTTAAAGAATTTAAAGTTTCATTTAGAGAAGTGATGTTTACATTTCTGAGCCTCTTTTTGAAAGTTGGTAACCATGTTGCATTGATGATACCAGCCAGAACCTCAGAAGATAACCTAAAACCTTTAACAAAACACATACTTCAACAAGTGTATGAACAGTTTCCACAGTACTTCACTGACAGCAAAGAAGCTTCATTTAGAACATTATCAGATCCAAAATATTGTGGAAAAATGAAGGTATTTGTTGTTATCAGTTTACTATAGGTATTTGAATGTTTCTATGAATAATCATCGACTTTTAGAATATATGGATTTGAATTATAAAAATTGTTGCAGGAAACTTGCTTAACAATCAAAATATAATTCTCAGACACATCAAAACATTGCAACACATGTGCTTGGAAGTACAGGAGAGTAACTAAACACTGTGATTAATTTAATTTCACAGCACACATTTCATGTTATATTTTAATATTATTTCTGCTTTTTTTAATCAATTAGTTTATAGATGTTTTCTTCTTTTGATCTTCAAATTTCTTTTAGTTTATGCATGAAATATAATGGCATTTGAAGATAAGCTAGCAGCAATCTTTCAAGACAAGTAATTTTTCAGTGGCACATTTTATTCTTTTTCCTTTGAAAATTGTATAGATTTGTGATTATTGATTACATATTTCATAACTAAACATATCTGATACATGGTTTACATTTTACTAGGTATTGAAAGGATTACTGTCTGTATTCTACAAAGACCACAGTAAAGTGTTAGTCTTCTCCTACAGTACAAGGGTAGGTTTTCAAGCAGGATCTTACACCCAAACTCATTCATATGTAAATCAATTGTCCTGTTACTGGTCAGTTTAATTTTGATTTTAGCTTAACCTGTTCAAATGCCTGCAAAAATTTTAAAATTCATTTTGGTCAATATTGAAATAGCTTGCTTGAAACGACTTTAATGTAAATTTACATTATTTCCCACTGAACAGTTTTTGTTTTTAATGCCTGACATTTTAATAAAACAGCTCTTCATAAAATTAAAACAGAAATGACCTCGTTCAAGAAAATTTTGTTAACAGTGTAATTATTTTGATTGTAAAGCCTGAAATATATGCTGGTAGGTAAACAATTAATATGTATTGTAAATGTTTGTTTTATTCGTGTATAAATGTTCACCTTCCTTTCCAGGGATCTTTAATGTCTTCTTTTACAATAGCGCTACAGTAAAATGTTTTTATGCTCCTTGAAAAAAATTTTGGAGAGCATTTACTCATCACTATGTTTGTATGTATAAAACATGATAAAGCATAGCCCATCAATTAGACTTAAAAGATTACAATGACTAAAGGCATTATTATTTTTAAAGACTATTGACCAAACATGGTTTATTTTATTCTTTTCATGTAAAATGTAGGTACTAGACATGTTTGAGCAGTATCTGATGTTTTATGTAAACTGTAGGTACTAGACATATTTGAGCAGTATCTGATGACAACGGAATATGAATATAGAAGACTAGATGGCAGCACTAGTATGAAGAAAAGAATGGCTTTAGTACGTGAATTTAACAGAGATCCTAACATCTTTATCTTCCTAATCTGTACCAGGTACTACTACAAACTACTGAAGGAGTTTTCTGTAACAAGGGATATAGGGTTGATATATGCATAAGAACTTTCTCAGATTATAAGGGGGGAAACATCAAAAGAAAAGATTTATAACCATTGTTTTTGATCTTGACAATTACTGGAAGGTTTATTTCTAGTTTTCAAAATTTATTAAAGACGGATGGTAAATTCTGAATGTGGAGATGACAGCCCTGTTATTCATTAAATTGAAACAAATTGCTTTAAGACAGTCAACTTTTTAATTGTCTGAACAGTTAATATTGCTGGAAAGATTTCTGATTTGAGTAAATAGTTTTACTATGGTTATTTAAACTGTCACTGGAAATTAAGCAAAAACATTCAGTTACAATGGTAATTTTTTATACCTGTGTGAAATGTAGGCCCCACTGAATTATAATTAAAGTGTTACATACCTGAAGATTTGGTCTAGATAACCTCAATGATTATTGGTAGCAGTTAATACAAGTAATTTTATAATGTCTTTGTTTTATTTAGGCCCCACTAGATTATAAAACCTGAAGGTTTTGTCTATATTACCTCAATGAATATAGGTAACAGTTCATACAAGTAATTTTACAATGTCTTTGTTTATTTTCATTACAGGGCAGGAGGACTTGGATTAAATTTGACTGGTGCTAATAGAGTTGTTATATTTGATCCTAACTGGAATCCTACCCATGATCTTCAGGCACAGGACAGGTATTTTATTGCGCTGGGAGTTATATGATAATGTTTATTAAGGGATGGATACTGCTATAATGTAATAACCCTATTGAGTCCAAAGCAACCTTATATTGAAGACTATTCTACTGTTGTTTGGTTATCTACTGTTAAACTCTATACCCTTGTATCTTAACAAAAAGAAAAATCATAGCATTTGTTGTATTTAATTTCTTCTTACATTTGCTTTTATGTTAGGTATGGCAGCAATAATTAGGCCCCGCCGAATGGCGGACACCCTATAGTGATCAGTCTGTCTGTCTGTCTGTCTGTCTGTCTGTCTGTCTGTCCGTCCGTCCATAACAAATTGTGTCCACTCTGTATCTAGAGAACCGTTATGATTTCAAAGTTTACACTTGACATGTATATTAACCAACACCAGAGGGTGTGTCATAATGTATGTACAACTTCCTAGGTCAAAGGTCAAGGTCAAACACTTTGGTTTTAGTTGACAACCCCATGTCCTATGAAAAAGATTGTGTCCACTCTGTATCTTGAGAACCGTTATGATTTCAAAGTTTATACTTGACATGGATATAAACCAACACTAGAGGGTGTGTCATAATTTATGTACAACTTCCTAGGTCAAAGGTCAAGGTAAAAAAAACTGGTTTCAGTTGACAACCCCATGTCCAATGATAAAGATACACATTTTTTACCACACATTATTCACAGCAGGGCCCACAGAGATGGCTCCCATCTCAATGATATCTAGTTATGACGTGACTGCGATATCATATTTGACATTTTTGCTCTTAAGTTGTTGAATGGACATCTGTCTATTGTTGGTAACTGTATGTTGCCATCAAGATGTCTTATGGTTATTTTTGTAGTTGGGTGGCTGTCTTGTTCACTTATACTCAATATTTCCCTTTATTCAGTTTATATGAACATAATGATCATGTCCATTTATCTATAAAATTGGCATAATTTCGAAAGAATTAAGATTTTATTTCCGTAATAAATCTTTCATCACCCTTTTCTTTACTCATAAGTGTGTGTTTATATTTGTTATATAATATCATTTATTTATGGATTTGCAATATAATAAAGGATGGTTTAAGTTCTTTCAAAGGTTAAAAAATAATTAAAAGTAAGTAACTTTGATTTTTTTTATCTTTACTTAAAATATTTTTTTTTATTTTGAACTACAGAGCATACAGAATAGGTCAGAGAAGAAATGTAAAAGTATACAGACTTATCTCCGCAGGAACTATTGAAGAAAACATGTACCTAAGACAAATTTATAAACAGGTAAAATTGTTACTGATAACTTCAACATATGTGTGCAGCAAGGGTAATTAGTAAGACTAATGATCTTGCCAGTCAACCAACATGGCAGCCAGTTCTAAATGTTGAACATAGAGAAAAAACTGATTATAAAAAATTAGTAAGAGGGCAAAATTCTACAAACCTCCATGAAACATGACTGTCACTGTTCCTGTGAATTAGAAACTTACCTGGTATATATTATATATTTTGATGCATTTGTTTTAGATTAATGTTGGATTGCAATCTGCATAGTTGGGATATCCCATATGTATTTTAATAGCACTGCTATATCCAAGATTTGGGATCGACTTTACTTGAAATTATGTACTTCAAAACCAAGAATTGATTGTTTCTGTTGAATTTATTCAATATATTTATAGACTGGAAAATTAATAGATTGACATATTGTATGGACACCTGTCTATTGTTTGAGGCTGTCTGCTGCTCTCTTGTTTAATAGATTGACATATTGTATGGACACCTGTTTATTGTTTGAGGCTGTCTGTTGCTCTCTTGTTAATAGATTGACATATTGTATGGACACCTGTCTATTGTTTGAGGCTGTCTGTTGCCCTCTTGTTAATAGATTGGCATATTGTATGGACACCTGTCTATTGTTTGAGGCTGTCTGTTGCCCTCTTGTTAATAGATTGACATATTGTATGGACACCTGTCTATTGTTTGAGGCTGTCTGTTTCCTCTTGTTAATAGATTGACATATTGTATAGACACCTGTCTATTGTTTGAGGCTGTCTGTTGCCCTCTTGTTAATAGATTGACATATTGTATGGACACCTGTCTATTGTTTGAGGCTGTCTGTTGCCCTCTTGTTAATAGATTGACATATTTTATGGACACCTGTCTATTGTTTGAGGCTGTCTGTTGCCCTTTGTTTAATAGATTGAAATATTGTATGGACACCTGTCTATTGTTTGAGGCTGTCTGTTGCCCTTTGTTTAATAGATTGAAATATTGAATGGACACCTGTCTATTGTTGAGGCTGTCTGTTGCCCTCTTGTTAATAGATTGACATATTGTATAGACACCTGTCTATTGTTTGAGGCTGTCTGTTGCCCTCTTGTTAATAGATTGACATATTGTATGGACACCTGTCTATTGTTTGAGGCTGTCTGTTGCCCTCTTGTTAATAGATTGACATATTGTATGGACACCTGTCTATTGTTTGAGGCTGTCTGTTGCCCTCTTGTTAATAGATTGACATATTTTATGGACACCTGTCTATTGTTTGAGGCTGTCTATTGCCCTCTTGTTGTTCTGTGGTTATATTTGTCGTTGGGTCTCTGTCTCTATTGACATATACCCCACATCTCCATTTATTTATCAGACAGGTATATGAATGTTTGTGTATTGAACTTGTATTCTCTTTCACCTTAATTGGAGAAGTCAAGCAACAAGTTATAGGTAAGAATCAGTTATTTCAAGAATGATTGTTTCACAGTAGCTGGTATGCCAATATGACTTCAATGATACAAGAATTTTGGGTCCTCTAGTTCAGCAGGATATCTGCTAGATGAATGTTGGAGCTGTTATCTTACTTATTTTTTACAGACTTTTATCAGATTATTGTTTATATTTCAGCAACTAGACAGTGTTGCTATACAGAATGAGAATGCCAACAGATACTTTAAAGGGATAGCGGGTGACAGAGCTCATCAAGGTGAATTGTTTGGTGTCAAGAATATGTTCCAGTTCAGGACAGGGGATAAGTGTCTCACATTAGATATCCTAAATGTAAGTTTTGAACATAATATGAATACATATACAGTCTAGCCTGCCTTAATGGTCACCTCGTTTCAGCGGTCACCTGCCTCTAAAGGCTACTTTCAGATCCTCCTAAACATTTTCTTTATATACATGTAATTTAAATCTTTTCAGCAGTCATCTGTCTAATGCGGTCAGCGGTCAACTACCGGTAATTTTGCACGGAATCGTAATTTCAACTTTTAACAACGGCCATTTTCATGTTTTTAACAACCAAAATATAATCATGACGAAAAATATATGTGTTCAGTATTGAGACAAAATGAGAATTGGCCCCCGTTTGCAACCAATATCGTAAAATAGGAGATGAATTTGTGAATTTACCATATTCCACTTTTCATTGAAAACTGTATCATCGACTTATTTATCCATGAATATTAACTATTTAGAATGTTTTCTTAGAGTACTGTAATACGCCAGTTTTATTTGTCTGCTCACACAAACAATAACTACTAATTGAAAATACTAAACAATTTCCCCCGATCCCGTTCACGTGTGGTGTCGGAATCAGATTTTATTTTTCGGAACCTCATTTAAAAGGTCACCTCTCTTTAGCGGTCACTTTTGATACTTCCCATGAGTGACTGCTTAATGCAGGTTTGACTGTATAAAGTGTCAACTTCATCAGTTTCAGTATGTTCTTTGAATCATGATAACATAGGTGGAGGAATTGAAAGCTTGTAGATATTGTAAAGAATGATAAGGCTTGAACTAAAATCAGATCAGTTTCTAATTTGTAAATAAATTATTCTTTAGAATATTCTTGCAGCAGTTAAAGATGACAGCAATGAAGATTGCACATGAAGCAAACATTTTGAATGACTGAATATTTTAAGACATTTGAGAACTTGTAAATAAAGAAATTAACAAGTGATTTCTTATCATAACTAGAAGAAGAAAAAATACTAGTAGAACCATTATTTAAAGCCTTAACTAGTCCAAAAAAAGAAACGTTAAGAAGTTATAGATTGATTGCAAAGCAACCCTCAATTGCAGAATGCCACTTTTCCTGAGAATTTCTATTGTGAAAACAAACAGGACTAAAACAATTTACTGTGCTGATAATTTTTGAAAAGTCATCAATGTGATAGAACATGTGAGAGCACAAATCTTTCTGTAATCTTTGTTAAATAGGATGATTTGTTCTCAACATTTGTGTAGTTTGTTGTTTTTGTTGAAGTAAATGATTTTAGCATAAAGATAAGTGGCATATTTCATAAGTCCAGCTGTTCAACCTGTTGTATCAATTTGCCCTTTTTTGCTTTTTTGAGAATTAAACAGATGTTTTTAACCTAATTATTACCATATAAAATATTAGTCCATCAACAGTCAATGCATTTGAGACACATTATTTTGGAAGATTATGTTTTATAGGAGAATGAGAGAGTTGAAACTGAATTAGTTGGATTTACTGTGTCTAAATATATATCTAATGATGATGAACAAAGAGAAGATAACTCTGAAGAGTCAGAAGAAGACCCAGATACAACTAATGAAGAGATAGAAGATCAAATGGATAATTCACTACTCAAATTATTTGGTATAACTGGTAGGTATTTCATGATATATTTTATTTTATAAATGGGGTAAATGATTCTTTCAGCTGTTTGTCAAGTAGAAGTTGATAGCATGGTTGATTTTGTAAAAACATGGTCTGAACAATAGCATTTTGATTGGTCTTTAATTGAATATTCATAAGACAGTCTACCAAAAAAAATCAGATTGTACTTGTCATTTTTTAAGAATAAAACATTTATATTGTTTTGAGAGTTTAAGTGCATTCTGGTGAAAACTTCACACAATTATAGGAAACCAATTAATAGGAATATGCAACTATAATGTTAAAAAGGTAAAAAGAGTCAGATGCCAAACACATAGACAGCTAAATATAAAAAGGGTGCCCTGGCCAATTACAAAATAAAGAACTATGCAGAGATCACAATTTCATGGCTCTGTTCTCCCATTTGTATTGATATGATATTTTTTTGCTATTGGCTTCCAAAAAATATTTTTGCCAGCCGGACATTTTATTTTGTCTTATCCCGATTTTAATCCTTTAAGACTTAGTAATAAAAGGCAACTATAGTAATCAGTTTGGCATCATATAAATTATGATTGACACAAAAACAATAGTTAACTTGAATTTTTGTGTAAATTCTATGTTCTGGCGTAAACTGTTAAATTGACAGTGCACCATTCGAAGTGTGCAACATCAGCGTACTTATATCTGCCTTAGACTCTTTATTTGTGCAAAATTACGCTGTCAATAACTTCACTTTCTTTTTTAAAAAGTACATTTTCCAAATACCGGATGTTAACTTGACAATGGTAAAACACAGACCAGAGACGGATACGTAAAATCCGTGTACGTTTACAAAGCACAATTTAGTTTCAGGAAAACACTCGAAATGAACGTTAGATAAAGGTATCAATGATATTTTTAGCAGTTTTGAAAATTCAGATGCATAATTAAATCTCACACCTGCGCACTTGCGCACGAGTGTTCTAGTTCAAACAACGTGGTTCTGATGATTTTTCACTAAAATCTTTATAACTACCTTTTAAAATTTTATTCAAATCACATTTGTTTACGTTTTCTGATTATCTAAATCTTTGACTAAATTAATTAGCTGCAAACCGCTGAAATTTAAGAAAATAACTTTCAAAAGACCGATCAATGTCTGGTACAAGATAGTTTACCTGTCGCCTGTACAGGTAAATTTCAGCTGTCAGAGAACTAATTAACCTTGATTGTAATGTGAGGGAATTAAAGTAGGGTTTGTTTTGATAGTAATTATCATCATCATGATCATATCACTTATATGACCGGAAATGTATATCTGTTTAAAGCAAAAGGTCCGGTCAAAAAGATTGCAAAAACTTCATTTTTTTCGCAATACCTATGTTAAAATGTCTGTTTCAGCATCAACACAACAAGTCATTTATATAATTTACCGGACAAGTCCGGAAAATATGACCGTTTTGGAAGCCCTGTTGGAACCCCCAAAAATGCAGTTTAAAAAATTGTTAGAAGCTTAGAGTCTACTGAATAATTTCTGAAAGTTTTCAGTCACTTGTTGAAAGATTTTTAAAAATGTGTCAATTTGTTATTAATAATAGCATATTGATTTATCAATACATTAACCTAACATGCATGTAGCTTACACTAAACTTAGACAATTATTTTTCCTTATACTCTGCAGACAGAGATGACTTTGATATAAACAGTATAGAAGATAGTGATGATGAACATTATATAGGAGATGTTGATTCTCAGGACTCGCATAGATCTGCACAGAGTAATACTGCAACCAGGAAGAAAGAAACTCCAAATAATACAGGAAGTAAAAGGACAAGTAACAGGAAAACCTCAACACCTGCTAAGTCTTCAAGTTCATTGTCTAAACAAGGCAAAACGTCTGCACCAGAAAGATCAAAGCTTAAAAAGTCATCCTCTTCATTTTCTTCAGTGTCAGATGTTTTTGGTAAGAATCTTCTATTTTTAAAATGATAAATTTGCCATCTTACTGTGAAGAATTTATCTGTATTGAAGCAACATTGTGACTTCAGACTGTTAAAATCTGATGATAAATGGACAGGCATTATAAAATTTGTTAAGTCATAGTTGGTGGTAAAGTTATCAAACAACACAACCAGGTGTCTCAAACACAAAATAGATTGAGACACAAGAAAAGTATATCTTTATTGTTTAGAATAGTAATAGCATTGTTTACAGAACAATCAACTTATAATGAAAACTCCCAGAATTTGGTGCAGAGGATAGCAACCGACTTATAAGTGGATCAACAATAATAGGTCCTTAAGAGGCCTGCCTACATTGATACGATTTCTATGCCCCCGCAACTGAAAGTTGGGGGCATATTGTTTTACCCCTGTCCATCCGTCTGTACTTCCGTCTATCTGTCCTTCCGTCCGTTGGTCCCATTATGGGTATATAGCTGTTCCAGATAACTCCTCCTACAGTTTGAATGCTAGGAAGTTTTCACTTTGCTGGCTGTTTGTACATATATTAAAGGTGTGCATGTGGTCAGGGTTTTGATTTTTTATTGATATTTGCTCTTTTGGGAGTTAGTTGAACTTTGTCATTTTTTGGAGTATTTACTTGCATAAGAGGTGCATACTGTTTCTGGATAACTCCTACAGTGAACATAGACTTATGTGCTCCCATGCTCAACTTTGTGTATTTTAAAATAACCCTTTGCATCTGCGGGGACATCATTTGTGTCTCCCAGACGCAATAATATCTCAAAGAAAGTCCTACATTGACTTTGTTATAATACAGCTTCTTCAGAGTGGAGTACGGGGGCATCACTTTGTCTAGTTTTTCATGGACTCTATATATTTTTTTATATGACCGCAAAAAAAATTTGCGGTCGTATATTGGTATGACGTTGGCGTCGTCATCCGAAGACACATTGGTTTTCGCACTCTAACTTTAGTTTAAGTGAATGGATCTCTATGAAATTTTACCATAAGGTTCAATACCACAAAAGGAAGGTTGGGATTGATTTTGGGGGTTATGGTACCAACAGTTAAGAAATTAGGGGCCAAAAATAAGCATTTTTGTAACTTCCAGACATAACTTGTGTGTTAGTGTATGGATCTCTCTGACATTGTACCACAAGGTTCCATATTACAAAGGGAACTGGTGGGATTGATTTTGGGGGTAATTGCCTCAAAATTTTAGGAATTAGGGGCCAAAAAAGGATAAAAAAACAAGCATTTTTCTAGTTTCATGACAATAACTTGTGTGTAAGTGTATGGATCTTTCTGAAATTGTACTACAAGGTTCCATATCACAAAGGAAAAGCTGGAATTGAGTTTGGGGGTAATTGCCCAAAACTATTAGGAAAAAGGGGCCAAAAATAAGCATTTTTCTAGTTTCTAGACAATAACTTGTGTTCAAGTGTATGGATCTCTCTGAAATTGTACTGCAAGGTACCATACCACAAAGGGAAGGCTGGGATTGATTTTGGGGTAATTGCCTCAAAATTTTAGGAATTAGGGGCCAAAAAGGGGCAAAAAACAAACCAAAGGGCCCCATGTGAGCTTATGCCATCACTTGGCGTCCGTCGTCTGTCGTTGTCGTCTGTCATCGTAAACTATTTCAAAAAATCTTCTCCTCTGAAACTACTGGGCCAAATACCTTCAAACTTTAACTAAATGTTCCTTAGGGTATCTAGTTTATAAATTGTATCCGAAGTTTTGATCCATCGACAAACATGGCCACCATGGCTAAAAATAGAATATAGGGGTCAAATGCAGTTTTTGGCTTATATCTTAAAAACTAAAGCTTTAAGAGCAAATCTGACATGCGGTAAAATTGTTCAATTGGTCAAGATCTATCAGCCCCGAAATTTCATGACGAATTGAACAACCCATTGTTGGGTTGCTGCCACTAAATTGGTAGTTTTAAGGAAATTTTGCAGTTTTTTGTTATCTTGAATGTTATTATAGATAGATATGTAAACAGCAATAATGTTCAGCAAAGTAAGATCTACAAAAAAGTTAATCTGACCAAAATTGTCAATTGACCCCTTAAGGAGTTATTGCCCTTTAAAGACAATTTAACACAATTTGTTCATCAAGTTTGCTAACATTTAAAAATCTTCTCCTCTGAAATACAGGTGAGCGATTCAGGCTCTTGAGAGCCTCTTGTATTACACCTTATGATAGTAAATACATCATTCATAGTGCTCGTCTTTGGAATAAACAATTTAGCAATTAAGACAATGTATACAACTCATGTTGGTATTATATCAACCCTTGTTATATGGTAGCTGCTGTCATGTTTTATTATTTTGAATAAGAAAAAAATAATCATGGATATTAATGAAAGTTGAAGATTATGTTAGGTTCTCTCTTCTTCATAGATCAGTGTGGTGTTGTGCATGTTCATGAAAATCGTCAGTTGGTAGGTGGCAGCAAGGCTGAGGATCACATGACAAAGTGTGCCATACAGGATGTGTATGAATTGCACCAGAACTCACAGATACCTGCTGGGTATTGTGAACCTATGTCGGAGGTAAGATACTGCTATAATACTGAAGGTCACATGACAAAGAGTGCCATACAGGATGTGTATGAATTGCACCAGAACTCACAGATACCTGCTGGGTATTGTGAACCTATGTCTGAGGTAAGATATTTGCAGTGTATTGTGAACCTATTTCTGAGGTAAGATACCTGCTGGGTATTGTGAACCTATGTCTGAGGTAAGATACCTGCTGTGTATTGTGAACCTATATCTGAAGTAAGATACCTGCCGTGTATTGTGAACCTATGTCTGAGGTAAGATACCTGCTGTGTATAGTGAACCTATTTCTGACGTAAGATACCTGTCGTGTATTGTGAACCTATGTCTGAGGTAAGATACCTGCTGTGTATTGTGAACCGATGTCTGAGGTAAGATACCTGCTGGGTATTGTGAACCAATGTCTGAGGTAAGATACCTGTCGTGTGTTGTGAACCTATGTCTGAGGTAAGATACCTGCTGTGTATTGTGAACCAATGTTTGAGGTAAGATACCTGCTAGGTATTGTGAACCTTTGTCTGAGGTAAGATACCTACTGTATATTGTGAACCTATGTCTGAGGTAAGATACCTCCCATGTATTGTGAACCAGTAGCTGAAGTTAGATACTGCTATATTATTTACTTCTTATATTAAAAAAGGAGAAGCATAACTAACACATAAGTTAACCATTTGTCTACAAAGTTTAAAACTTGAATATAAACTATTGCTGTTTCCTCTAAATAAATATAAATATAAAAGTAAGAAGATGTGGTATGATTGCCAATGAGACAACTCTCCTCAGAGGCCAAATGACATAGAAATTAACACCTATAGGTCACTGTGCGGCCTTCAATAATGAGCAAAACCCATACCACATAGTCGGCTATAAAAGGCTGTGAAATGACATATGTAAAATAATTTAAACGAGAAAAAACTAACGGCCTAATTTATGTACAAAATAATGAAAAACAAATGTGATATACAGTAACAAACGACAACCACTGAATTACAGGCTCCTGACTTGGGACAGGCACATACAGAATGTGCGGGGTTTAACTAGTTTGAAGGCGCCAACCCTCCCCTAACCTGGGACAGTGGTGTAACAGTACAACATAAGAACAAACTATAAAAATCTGTTGAAAAGGGCTTTAACTCATCAGATCGATACGAAGCAGAAATACATCTAACTCAAAAACACAGACGTGGCAGGGTACTTGTACATCCAAACAACAAAAAGACACTAAGTACAGATCTGAGAGTACTCGCAGTTACTGACAGCTAGTTTAAAGCCAATAACAACTAATAAAAAAAATCATGCATCTAAGACTAAAATATCAATCAGTACACATCCAACATCCAATGGATTTAGTGTCAAGATGTCATTAACAGTCAGAGAAAAATATGACCTTGTGCAATGCCAAAATAAAGGTATCGACAGATTGTAGAGCCATGAATGTATGTTTATAATTTATTTTCACATTCCTGTCCACACAAGATACATATTTTGTTATACCCATGTTTAGATTTTCTACTTGTTGGCTTGCAGATTGTCCTCAAAATCATATAATAATACTGTTTACTGTTCATGTTTTAAAATACAGACATTCTTACCTTTTTGCAATACATTGGACTTTCATTTAAAGGGTTATCTTTTTTAATCTTTTTACATACCTGCCAACATTTCAAACTGCCCATGGGGGTTTTACATGCAAGATGGCTCTCATAGTCCTACAAAACCATTAAAAAGGGCCTTCAAATTTAGTTTAATGATGTTTATTTGCTCCTTCATACTTTTACAATCCTATACCCGTGGTAAAATTGATTGTTTTGTTCTAAATTGTGGACAAAATTACTCTTTCAAAATTTCCATTTGGGAGCTTTCATGGGGGAAATCCCCCACAAATAGTGACAGTTGGCAGGTATGTTTTTATGTTTTAATAATTTCACTCCCCACAAAGCTTAAATGCCAGGGTTACTTTGACACTTAATAATTGTTCAAATGTCCCACATGAGTTTAAATATACTTTATATGATACAGCTGTTTGTTTGTAGTCTGATGACAGTGGGATTACTGAACCTACTCCTGTAAAGTCTAGAGGTAGGAAGTCCTCAAAACCAGATCACAATACACCTACATCAGTTGTCATAGGAACCAGTAGAGTATTAATTGGACAAACTCCAAAAACTATCAGATTGTAAGTAAAAATGTTTCATAATTTGTCCTCTAATAAAAAATTGGTAATAGGATTTTAAATTGATTTTGAGGTGGTTCTTTGCTTTTGCGGCAATTGGCATTTCATTTGCGCCAATAATACAGGTAAATAGTAAGAATAATAAATCTATATTGAAAAGAGACTTTTAATAATAATGTTGTGATTCTGGCTTTGCAACTTTTAAGGGTAGATCTATACAATTTATCTCTGTTTTTTTCAGTACATTAGATATTGTAAATGTGAGATCTTTTAATAAAATACAGACATTTCCTCCTCTATTTGTCTCTGATTGAGTTATGGCAATTTTGTCAACTAGAACATGTGAACACAATACAATTTTATACATTTAAGTGAATCTCAGAATTATATGAGAAATGAGTATGAACTCATTTACTAACCCAATGCGGAGCTGGAATACTCTACAACATTTCTTATGTGAGCGTCGTATTCAGGATACATATTATATTAAACGTTTCCATTAAATTACCTGTAAATTAGTGTAAAAGCAGTGTTTATGTTTGGTGCAAATGAAATACAACCCTGTGGCACAAATGAAATACTGCATTTTGAGGAAGTAAAAAAGGATATATATAGAAGAACTCTTAAGGGTTGTGTGACTTTGTTTGTACACATTTAGATCTATATTCAGAATCTTTAAAAGAGAGGATCATATCATGTTGCATGTAAAATGTCTTCTCAATTTTTTTAGTTAGCTGCCTTCCCAAATTAGGACATTGATATGCTGTTTAGTAAGACTACACATCATTAAAATTAAGCTGCAGATACAAAAATATATAGAGGAACCAAACCTTTCACGAGATAAGCTCCCAACAACATACAATAGGGAAAAAAAGTATAAAGTTGCTTTGATGATTTATTTTAGAATCATATTTATCTATAAAGCAAACTTAAGTTAGAAAAAGTGAGGATACTTGGCAGAAGCACATGAGACTGAAATCTAAATCATTATCCAAACTTCTCAATGTAGTCAGTACATTGTACATTTTGTAATAACAAAAGTTTTAGAAATGAACCTATTTGTAGCATGCTCAAAGCTCACTTTCAAGAATGAATAAATAATCCTTTATTAAACCTTATCTTTTCAATTGATTTCATTATCTATATTTTAGAAAACAGTTTGAAGAAATAACCCAGTTCTTTGACAGTGTTTCAGCTGTTGAATTATCAGAAAGGATTTTGTTAGGGTCTACACAATCCAGATTAAAATTGCTGAAAGATTTTTACACCAAGGATAAACCTGATTTTTCTCAGATATTTAGCACAGTTAAACATGATGGTGATCAAAATGATACATCACTTGGATCAGGTGAGAAAAATATTTTATTTTGATATTTTATTCTGTGTGAGATAATCAAATATGAGATTTTAGCATGTGACTTGAATCAGATCTTAATTTCTGTAATTAGAAAGAAAAAATTACTGGCAATAGATTAATACTTGGGATGCTTAATATTCACACTTTTTCATCATAGCATATTACAAATGCTGTACTAGATCTATTTTTTTTTTTAAATATGAACAGAGAGGCTTTTTTTTCCTGTAATATGCTACTTAATCACATCATACATTGAACTATAAATGCTTTAGAACATTAACAAAAAACTTTTCATTAGCGAAGATTGTAATTTTTGGCATTGGAACAGTATCAATAGGTGGAACAAAGATTTCCAGATTTATGTTAAAATCAGTGAACATAGTGGGCATTGGGAACACATGGCAGTGCATGAGAAACTTATAATATGTTCAATTGGTCTTAGTAGATCTTATTTAATTCACTGTTTATGATGCGTAATCAGTTGTTATTACAATTTTCTGCAGTCAAAATGCTCCAAATTTTATAAATACAGCCGAAATTTGTAAACATTTCAAAAATTGATAAGTTTTTCTCACAAACTGATAAACTGAAGAGGAGTTTGTTCTTAGGATTTTTGGAAAAAATGTTTTCAAAATTATTTCAAAATAAGTTTCATTGATGGGAAGCTGAAACAGAAGTATTTATTGTGCAAATATTGTAGACATTTGGTAGCTATTCTTAGAAAATTTTATTTGCTGCTTTCTTTTTTTTTAAAGATATTTTGGTAATACCTCTAAAACCTATTGATATTACTCTTGTGACTAGATGATCTGTTTTTTGAACCTTTTCAAATATTAAATATTTTAATATTGACAGGGTTGACTAGTACAAAAAAGACAACTAATCCAGACATAAAAAGAAAGAGGCGAGTAAGACGCAAGGAAAATGAAACTCTGGGTATTTCATTTCTCGACTTTCCTGATAGCGAATCCCAAAAATTAGAATCTAAAAGTAGGATTGAAAGTGATGGAAGTCAGACAGAAAGTTTAGATATTGGAATACCTTCTACCTCATTTGCTCGTAGGAAGCCTTCGCCATCCAAGAAACCTACTAAAGGTAGATCAAAGAATAGTGTGCAGAAAAATAAACATAAAGACATCAAGGATACTTGTTCTGTTTTTACTGTTGATGAATTTACAGAAGAGAAAACTGTTGTTATTACTTCAGATAATCACTCAGATGATATTGAAGAATTATTACATAAAATTGGACATCAAGCTGATGCAAAAATCTCAGTAAAAGAAGAAAATCAAAAGGAAAGGGGAGATAATTTGTCCATCTTAGATGATATATTTTCGTCCCCAGAAAAATCAACTCAAAAACGAAAAAAGCCCCCCAAAAAGAACAAAAAGTCAGGAAAAGTAGAAAACATTGACTTTGATTCATTAACAGAAACAAGCATTACAGAGGATGAAGATTATCATTTTGCTGACGTAAGCACTTTAAAAGACGATGGGATTGATGTTTTCACTGACCCTGTTAAATGGAAAAGTCTTAAAAGACATCAGAAGGAACGTGTATCATTAGTTGATCAAATGGTGTCTGATGCTGCCGAGGACTATGACGAACTTTTTAAATCAGGGAAAATGAAAAGAGTGAAGAAATCGAATAAACAACATAGACCTGAAAACAAATCTGATAGTGATACAAATGATGACCCTTCTGCTAGTCTGTTTTAAACATTTATTCAATATTTTTGTTTCTTTTGTCTGTTTTAAGTTTTCATCAATATTTAAAAAAATTTCTGTTAACATTATCAAATCGATGGAAATTGATCTGAAGACAATGGTATTGTAATTCACAGTCTTTGTTGCCAAAAGAAAGAAGTATTTTACTACAGTACTCAAAACTGATGCATTGTTTATAATGAAGAAATAGGCTATTCAAAGGGTACCAAATCCTGTGTATTTCACGATTCATTATTATCACAAAGTAGAATTAATGCTACATTTTAGTGGCTTCTTGGGCCCTGTTTCTGTTTCTGTTTTTGTTTTTGTTTTTGTTTTAATTTTTACTCAAGTTTTAAGATTTCCATTTATATTTATTTTCTGGTTGAGTTAATGCAAAACTAAAAACAGGTAGTTTAAGTGGAGTGATACAAAATCTACTTATAAGGAAAATATATAGCTTTTGAACTATTTTTAAATGGTTTTCAGATTCGAAAAAATTTGAAAACAAACTCTTGTGAGAACCAACTCCATAATCTACCACATTCAGTATTTGTCTTTATGAACAGCAGCTCTTTTACAAATATTTACCCGTTTCCTGCACAAGATTGATATTTCCATTTCACAAACATATGTATCAAAAAATGTATGTAGCTTAGATTGAGAATTTTAAGAATCTTTAAATTTTTTAGAAAAACAAAGAATACGGGGTATCCATCAATGATATAAAATCAGTACATGCACAGCAAAAAACACTCAAAAAGCAAAGGAACAGGGTTTTATAGCTGTTCTTCATGCCATCTCTCAACCTTAAAATCTATATTCATAATATCTTAAAGACCTCAGAGTTCAGGCTTTGTTCAGGCAAATATAATTTTAATTTTAGGCCAAATAAGGCCCTTAGCATACCTCCTTTAAAAACCTTAGGTAATTGAAATTTTGATTTGATTTGACCTGTACAAAGGCTGAATCATAAATTAAAAACCATCTAACTGACTATTTTCCATAAAAAAAATGCCGATCTTCAGTTATATAGTCCTTACTTTTGTAATCTGAGGAACTTTGCTTCAATTTTAATTAATCATTGTATTGAAAAAAATAAAAAAACCTAAACAGTTTCATGCTCTATTCGCCCATGTAGTGACTAGTTGATTGCTAAGAAGGATTACCATATCCTGTTACCTTGCAGTGTTAGAGAAAGGTTACCATATCCTGTTACCGTGCAGTGTTAGAGAAAGGTTACCATATCCTGTTACCTTGCAGTGTTAGAGAAAGGTTACCATATCCTGTTACCTTGCAGTGTTAGAGAAAGGTTACCATATCCTGTTACCTTGCAGTGTTAGAGAAAGGTTACCATATCCTGTTACCTTGCAGTGTTAGAGAAAGGTTACCATATCCTGTCACCTTGCAGTGTTCAAGAAAGGTTACCATATCCTGTAACCATATCCTGTAACCTTGAAGTGCCCAGGAAAGGTAACCATATCTTGCTGTCTTTAAGGCTACTGTTTGATTGTCTAATTCTGCTCTGCAATTGTAACCCTATCTTGCTGTCTATATATGGCTACTGTTTTATTGTCTGGTTGTGCTCTGGAAGGATAACCATATCCTGCTATCAATGTGGCATATGCTTTATAGTCTCATAGTGCTCAGGAAGGGTAACCATATCCTGTAACCTTGAAGTGCCCAGGAAAGGTAACCATATCTTGCTGTCTATGTGGCTACTGTTTGATTGTCTAATTCTGCTCTGGAATTGTAACCCTATCTTGCTGTCTATATATGGCTACTGTTTTGTTGTCTGGTTGTGCTCTGGAAGGATAACCATATCCTGCTATCAATGTGGCATATGCTTTATTGTCTCATAGTGCTCAGGAAGGGTAACCATATCCTGTAACCTTGAAGTGCCAAGGAAAGGTAACCATATCTTGCTGTCTATGTGGCTACTGTTTGATTGTCTGATTATGCTCTGGAAGGGTAACCCTATCTTGCTGTCTATATATGGCTACTGTTTTATTGTCTGGTTGTGCTCAAGAAGGATAACAATATCCTGCTGTCAATGTGGCTAATGTTTTATTGTCTTGTGGTGCTCAGGAAGGGTAATCATATCCTGCTATCAATGTGGCTAAATGCTTTATTGTCTGGTAGTGCCCAGAAAGGATAATCATATCTCGCTATCAATATGGCTAATATTTTATTGTCTGGAAGTGGTGAGGAAGGGTTATATCCTGCTCTGTATGTGGCTAATATAATGTTTTATTGTCTGTATAGTGCTTAGGAAGTGTTATCATATCCTGATCTGTATGTGGCTAATGATTAATTGTCTGGTTGTGCTCATGAAAGATAATTATATCCTGTTGTCAATGTGGCTTATGCTTAATTGTCTGGTTGTGCCCTGGAAGGGTAACAATATCTTGCTCTCAATGTGGCTAATTCTTTATTGGCTGGTAGTGCTCAGGAAAGATTATATCCCACTGTCCATGTGGCTGATGCTGTATTGTCTGGTTGTGCCTGGGAAGGGTTATCATATCTTGTTGTCAATATGGCTAATTCTTAATTGTCTGGTTCTGCTCAGGAAGGGTCATCATATCTTGTTGTCTACTTTGTGCTTTATTGTCTGGTAGTGCTAACGAAGGGTTATATCCTGTTGTCAATGTGGCTACTGCTGTATTGTGTGGTTGTGCTCAGGAAGGGTCGTCATATCTTGTTGTCTACTTTGTGCTTTATTGTCTGGTAGTGCTAATGAAGGGTTATATCCTGTTGTCAATGTGGCTACTGCTGTATTGTGTGGTTGTGCTCAGGAAGGGTCATCTTATCCTGCTGTCAATTTGGCTATTGCTGTATTGTGTAGTTGTGCTCAAGAAGGGTAATCATATCCTGCTGTCAATTTGGCTACTGCTGTATTGTGTGTTTGTGCTCAGGAAGGGTCATTATATCCTGTTGTCAATGTGGCTAATACTGTATTGTCTGGATGTGCTCAGGAAGGGTTACCATATTCTGCTGTAAATGTGTATAATACTATATTGTCGGGTAGTGCTTAGGAAGTGTTATCATATCCTGCTCTTATGTGACAAATGATTTATTGTCTGGTTGTGCTCATGAAATGTAATCATATCCTGTTGTCAATGTGGCTTATGCTTTGATGTCTGGTTGTGCTCAGGAAGGGTAACTATGTTCCGGACCATACGCGTATGGTTATGACCAAATGAGTATATATAGGTATTTTTTTCCAATATGCAAACTTTAACCAATAATTGATGCTCCTTTATCCTACTTGTGTCCATTTGTTAAGCAAGTAAGATACAACACAAGTATGTTCAGTAAATAAGATATAAAAAAAATTGATGCGACGGCAGCACCCAAGAAAAAAAAACAAAACGAAGACGTGTTGACATATTGCAGTGAAATTTCACAATTGTATAAGAAAAAAATAAGCAAAGATAAACTTTCTATTTGTTTAACCATGTACGCATAGCTTTGTTCATCAGACCCAAACATTACACGTTACTGACTGATTTGTTTCTGTGACATATTGTCTGAATTTTGGTTAATCGTTGTTAGAGCCGTCGGTAGTCATGATGGTATCAATTAAAAGCGTCCGTTAATATATAGCGTTTGACTTTTTGTTTAATATTTTATTTAAACATTTCTTGAATCTGTCTTCTAAATTCATTCGTCAGGACAAATCGACCATAGATAAATATGTTCAGTATACTTTTAACTTGTAAATTGAATTCTCTGGGTTATCCATCGTCACTTTATTCAACTAATCATGAAAATACTTATTCCCGTATCATGTCGCGCATAATCATGATTAAAAAAACTCAAAATTTAATATATATATATATATTCTTCCAAAAATTGAAATTTATAAATTTTTATAAACTCTTTTTTTTTTATGTCAAATCGAAGGGTCATACCTTATGAAGTTTATATTACAGTATTAAATGTTAAACCAAAGATTTATACAGTAATAAGTCTTACTATGTACATGCTTGATTTAACATTTCAACCGTCGTCGTGTTAATCACCCGGACCATATAAGTATATTACTCACATGGTCATGACCATTCGCGTATGGTCCAAATACTCATATGTTCCGGAACAACTAGAGTATGCTGTCCATGTGGCGACTGCTCTTATCATATGGTAGTGCTCTCACCGTGGGGGGGGGGGGGGGGGGGGGGGATGGTGACATAAAGGATTGTGTAACAAGAGCCTGACTGAATGACATCTTGTTATTGAAACTGTCGGATGTCTCTGACCACACAACATACGAATACTCTAAATGACAATGACTTGTCAACCGTTGGGTGCCTGGAACTCTTAATATGAAGCTTTGGTGAAAACTTAACACTTGAAAGCCGACCGTGTAAGACCCTCATGGGTAGTCAAGGTCGTTTAAAAAAAAAACCTCGTCGTCGGAACACTTGAGACACGGGAACACACGATGAATAATTCAATAATTTAGCATGCAATGCTTTTATTACGGATAGACTGTGTTCAGTGTAAAGTCCTAAGTCCAATCTGATTCATCAACAAATGGAAGTTTTTAACGACCTTGACTGGCTATACAGCCCTTGCACGGTCGGTTCTGATTCTTCAAAATCATAAACAAGTATTTATACAAAATTAATAAGAACATATTTACAACTTCTCGTCCAATGGAATTGCTTGACTTTGCCTTCTAATTTTCATAGTATATACTTTTTCCGTGTACTAAGTAACTACGCATGAATGACCACAAGGGTAAGATTTCATTGTATCGTAATCAAGATATTAAAACAAAAAATTGCCACTGACAATTTTGAAATAAAATGCTGTGTTCCAAATTAAATCAAATAGTTTGTAATTCGTTTTCAGATTGATTTTTAAATATCCTGCTATTAAAATCTTTGGATCTAAAAAATGTTTTTGACAATTGCAAGTTTCTTTCATTTAAATAAAGAATAACAAATATGGTTCTTTATACCTTGATTAGTGTACAACGCTATCTTAAAATTGTAATAATTTATCATCCATGCAATTACTTTGTACACAAAAAAAAGTGTGTACTATGAAACATTGTGAAGGGAAATTATGGCAACTTGGTGATGATTTTTTTTAACTTTCTTGGGGAAATTGATCTATTTCTCTATGAATTGATTGATTGATTATTGGTTGCTTAACGGCCAGTAGCAACTATTTCATGCATGTCATGAATTGAAAAACCGTGATAATGTCTGAAGAGAAAGTGCCACCAATATATATACTATCTGATAAATCTTTTAGTTTTTACTTTGAAAAAAAACCCACAAAAACACAAAACCTATAATCTGATCTTTGGTAGTTGCTTTTTAATGCTATCCGCTATACCATCTATGGGGACAAACTATCTATATGTTTCAAATTTATTATAGCTTTAGTTTTACTGTGAAATTGAAAAATGTTTTCAAAACATGTAAAGCTTCCACTGCAATTTAATTATTGCCTGCTTTTGGTCAATTCATTTTGTTATCTTACCATATAAAGAAGTACATGTATAGTAAAACACCGCTTTATATCAATATACATACTTACACCAGCAGCTACCAACTTTTCATTGTGGAGTCCAGGGCTTTTTTGAAATCACATATCTTACAATGATACTAGTGAGTAGATTTACAAAACATAAAATTCGTTAATGAGCTCCGTTTTACAAACACCTGTGATACAAGTAGTCAGCCAAAATAAACTATCAATGGACCAATTAAAAGATTACTTGAGTTGTAAATATGTGCTAAATTGGATAGTCTATGAAAAAGGTATATACTATGAAATTAAGAGCTCGGGGCAAGCCCCTCGCTCTAAATTTCATAGTATATACCTAGACATAGACTAACCTAGACATAGACAAGAATAAACATAAGACATAACAATTAATTTGAGTGATATCGTTCTCTGTCAAAGATTATACTATTTTTAGAACTTGAAATAATTAATGTGAATTGGATAATCTGATGGATATCAACACATTTTAACAAAGGTAACGGCACGAGACTCACAAGGCCGAACAGACGGTTTATCTATTTATTGCATTTTTACCCAAAAGTTTCTCTGGTATTCTGAAATATTAAAGTATTGCACTTTATATCTCATTACAT